ATTCCTGAGTGTAGAGCCAGGAGTAACCCCTGAGCATCGCCAGGTGTGACCCAAAAAATCTCTCCCTTTGCTCACCGGCAAAATATCACTTAAGGTGTTTTTCTTCTTTCCTCAGTCCAGTAACTTAATTAACATCTTAATTCTACTTCTTAATATTAGTTATTTTTGTTTGGACACAGTAAGAGATACATTGAGGCTTGTAGAGCTGCTCTCCTGGGAACATCTTGCCACAGACTCAGACGACAGTGCTCAGGCTAGATTAATCCTTCCTAACCCTAGCACTGTCCGAATCTAGTTATTACTTTTTGGATCACGACAGAATTTGTCCATGACCATGCTCTTAACTTATAGTTAAGCATTATGGCACTTTGGCCAGGCCCATTTCGATGCCAGGGTAGCACATAGCTCACCACTTGCCCTGGGTCCATCCAGTCCCTCTTCGGGACCCTGCTTAGGGGCTGCTAGGAAGTAAGGATAACTGAGGCTTAGGTCCAGAAAACAGATGCCCCGGAGGAAAATATCATTCAGAGTCAATTGACTCCCATTACTAAAGCATAGCATTGACTGTCTTCTTGTGTCCATACAAAAAGGACATTGCTCTGAATTAACTATGCAAAGGACTTCTGGAGAAGAGAAAAACAATATTCACAAGTTAACAGAGCACAAAGAGAGAAGTTACAAATAAACACAGAGGATTGGGAGCACTGTGATGGGAGTAACCCAATAAACCTAAGCTCCCTGCGGCAAGGCTGAAAGGACAAACCAATGTTATCCTACATAGGGGATAGAGAGATAGTACAGCAGGCAGGACTCCTGCCTCACATGGGGCCAACTCAGGCTTGATCCCCATTATCCTATATGGTCCCCTGAGCACCTCCAGGAGTGATCCCTGAGTACAGAGATAGCCAGGAGTAAGCCCTGAGTATTGCCGGATGTGGCACAAAGAAATAAAAAAACATAACCAGGATGTGCAGTGAGCAAGGCAAGTGCCTTACCCCGTACACTATTTCTCTGGCCTAAGATTTGACCCTGCTGGGAGTAAAAGGAGCAGCCAGGAAAGAAATGATCGTCTTCACTCGCAGGGGCCATGTCTGAGCTCAGCAAACAGTAGCCCCTTCCCCCAGGCTGCTGCTAGCAGATAAAGGTGGTGTCTTTTTCTTTTTTTAGTGAACTGAAATAGTTTTATTTAGGAAATGTGAGAGGAGAAAGAGAAGAGACATAAAAAGAAACGTATTAAGGCAGAAAGCAGGCTTCCTTGCAAGGGGGGGGAGACACAGGCCTGTGTGGACACGTGCTGAAGAGATCAAGATGACAGGTCTCAGTATGGCGACTGTCCACTCCTGGCTGCCACAGTGAATATTGAAAGGGGGTCACTGGGGATCAGTACTGTGGTTTTCTTGGCAAAAATGACTCCAGTTTCTTCCTTGAAACACTTTCCATCTGTATCCTCCCCTGCCTTAACTCCACCCCCACTACCCCACCTGCATTCCTTTGAGATAGCCTGCCGAGAATGGCTCTGCTGGGGGCATTCTGGGTGACATCCATGGGCGCTCAGTGGCTTCTGCTGGCTCTGCTCTCAGGGGTCACTCATGGTGGTGCTCTGGGGGGCCACACATGGTTCGAGCGATAGGACCAGGCTTGCCGCATGCAAGGCAAGCACCATACCCACTGTACTATTTCCCCAGCCTAAGGTTGGAGATTGAAGCTAGGCGGCAGGGGCATCCATCTGCCCTCTGTGTTCTGGTGATGCTTCAGATGACCTCCCTAGAGTCATTTCACTAAGATAAGTTCAAGGCTTGGAGAAAACAATCCGTAGTGAGCCAATACAGCGTACTCTGATCAGGTCAGGAAGGAGACGGGGTAAGGTGCTTCCTCACACACAGCCCACCAAGCTTGATCTTTGGCATTGCCCCTGGTCCCCCGAGCTCTGCCAAGAGTAGTCCCTGAACCTAGAACCAAGAGAAGCCCAAGCAGCACTGGTGGGGCCACAGAACAAACTTGCTTACCTCATGGATGAACAAGTAGCCTTCTGACACCTGATGTCTCTGTTGTTTCACTTTCATCTTAATCTTGAAGTTAATTAAAACACCAACCAACATTCCTGCCAAAGCTGCACTCACAGCACTCAGTGTTCAGCCTACTGTGAACTGCCTTGTGAAGGTGCCATTGGGGAGGTGGCTCGTCTGACCTCAAATGACCTCAGACAATGACAGCCCTGGCAGATGGCTTGGCTGCAAGCTCAGGAGAGACCTAGAGACAGAACCATATAGCTAAGTCTCTCTCTTGGATTCCCGACCTGAAGAGAAACTGGGTGAGATCAGATGTTTAGTGTGGGTTTGTGCTGTTAAATTTTGAGGTGCTCGTAGCAAAAGGTGGCAGATTGCACTGCCTTTTACAGAGCTGTCAGGGAAAAATTACTGCCACAGTTCACTGTATTGTTGGGACAAATTTCCAGAAGCGGAATTGTTCAGACAATATGGATAAAAATATATATCTGAGGTCGGGGATATAGCTCAGCTATAAAGCACTTGCCTTACGTGTGTGAGGCCCCAAGTCAGGCCTGGTATTGAAGGGAAGAACAGGAAAGAGTGTCTGGGAGCAGCGCCAGCAGCCCTATGCCCTCTGTTCAGCTCGGGCTGAGCGGGATTAGCACCAGGGGAGAAGCATCAGAAAAGATCATGGGAAAGGTCGGAGCCTTTCCTCACAGGAAGGAGGAAGGACTAAAGCACTAAATCTACTACCTAAAAAGCCTATTTTATCTTTCACTGGGAAACAGACCATGTACTGTAGCCCAGAATTTAGAACATTTTTTTTACATCTGTTGTTAAAGGTGCAGTAACTGTGTGACATCAAAACGCTAACTGGGGGCCAGAGAGATGGTGCCACTGCTAAGGCCCTTACCTTGGATGCACCTTAGTCGACTTTAATCCTCAATATCCCATATGGTCCCCCAGGGGCCACCAGCAGCGATCCCTGAGTTCAGAGCTAGGAGTAAGCCCCAGGTGTGACCCAAAAACAATATATGTATGTGTATATACAGGTATGTGCTTTTAAAAAATAATTATGTTGCACCAGAGCAGTAACACAGCTGATAGGGCACTTGCCTTGCACATGGCCAACCTCATTTCTGTCACTAGCACCCCACATGGTCCCTTGAACCCCGACCCAGGTTTGATCCCTGGCATCCCATATGGTCTCCTGAACACGGCCAGGAGTGATTCCTGAGTGCAGAGCCAGGAGTGAGTCCTAAGCATCACCGGGTGTGACCCAAAAAGCCAGGAGTGATCCCTGAGCACAGAGCCAGGAGTAAACCTTGAATAAGGGTAAGTATGGCCCCAAAACAAAACCAAAGATGTCTACGGACCTCCTGCAGTGCTGGGTCAGCAGTCTGAGGCAGCAGCCAGCATCCCTCTGCCTCTGTTGCCAGGGCATCCTCCCCGCAATCAGCCTCACCTGAGAAAGGCAGCCCTGAGCCGGCCTGCTCTGCCTGTTGGCCGTGTGCACAACGCCCCCTCGAGGCTTGCAGTGGTACCTGTCAGGAGACTCCTGATCCCGTTCTTCGTTCTCTGCCACTTTCCATTTCGAGTCAGTTTTCACACCCCCTTGCATCTTTTGAGGATTACATAAATTGACATTTGCAGCTTACTTTACATTGTAAGTGCTCTGTGTGTTCAACAACACACAGCAGCGGGGCCGAAGAGACAGCGCAGGGGGAAGGTCTTTGGCTCGCATGAGGCCGCCCTGCTTGATCCCGAGCACCACATATGGTCCTGTGAGCACAACCAGGAGAGACCCCTGAGCACTGCTGGGTGTGGCCCCCAACACAAACCAGCAGTATCCAAAATGACGTAGAAATTGTCAGCCTTATAGCCAAATAGGATCCTTCAAGAAGGCTCCCTAGGGGCCGGAGCGATAGAACAGCGGGGAGGGCGTTTGCCTTGCATGTGGCCGACCCGGGTTTGATTCCTGGCATCCCATATGGTCCCCTGAGCTACTGCCAGGAGTGATTCCTGAGTGCAGAGCCAGGAGTGAGCCCTGAGCATTGCCTGTGACCCAAAAAGCCAAAAAGAAAAAGGAAAAGAAAAGAAAGCTCCCTGATTGGCCTGGCCTCTGCGCTCAGAGCAGATGCTGGGGCCCAGGCCGCAGGAGGTGGGTGGCAGCCCGCCACTGAGGACCCCCAGTAGCCTCTCTGGCATTTATTTTGTTTTGTTTTTCAGGCCACACCGAGTGGTGCTCAGGGTTTACTTCTGGCTCTGCACTTGGGGATCATTCCCGCAGGGGCCAGGGGGCACATGATGCTGGAGATAGGGATTACCCGCTGCATTTTCACCCCAGCCCTCTGTGCCTCTTTTGACCAGTGAAGGGAAATGAAAGAAGTGGGGTGGGTACTGCAGACTGGCCATAGTCATTAGTGGGACTCTCACCTCAGCCCCCAGTGGCAACAAGCAGAGGTTGAGCACCGGCATCGCCCTCCTGGGAGAGCCCACCGTCATCTTCCTGGATGAGCCGTCCACAGGCATGGACCCTGTGGCCTGGTGCCTGCTCTGGGACACTGTGGCGCGCACCCGCAAGGCCGGCAAGACCATTGTCATCACCTCCCACAGGTAGGGGCGGGTTGTGGGGCAGTGGGCAGGAGCGGGGCAGGGGGTGAACGATACCCGTCCGTGGGGCGGTGGGGGTTGGGGGGCAGCGGTGTGAGAAGTCTCAAGGCTTCGTGATGTCCCGTCCCCCTGCAGCATGGAGGAGTGCGAGGCCCTGTGCACGCGGCTGGCCATCGTGGCACAGGGCCAGCTGCGGTGCCTGGGCAGCCCGCAGCAACTCAAGAGCAGGTTCGGCAGAGCTACGGCCTGTGAACCAAGGTGTGGAGCCGCTGGCGGCATGAGGCGCTGCAGGAGTTCAAGACCTTCGCACACTGCACCTGACTTTCCCAGGGGCGTGCCTGCCCCCAGCCCCCTGTGGGCCCTGAGTCCGCAGGCAGCATCCTGGAAGAGCACCGAGGGATGGTCCACTACCACCTTCTGGGTGAGGACCTCAGCTGGGCCAAGGTGAGCGCCGTGGGGGTGTCCCTGACTCGACCAGCCCACGGTGAGCGCCATAGGGTGTGGGGGTGTCCCTGACTCAGCCGGGCCATGAGGGTGCAGAGGGGCTTCCCTGACTCGGCTCTTTCTGGGGGACAGGCCTTCGTGTCTGACTGCTGTCTCCATGGCAACATCTGCACCATATGCCTGCACAGGCCTCGGTATCAGAGCTGGAAGGAACCTCTCTGGGGCTCTATTCCTGGTACCCCTTCATTTTAGAGCGGGGAACAAACCCAGGGTGGACAGGCCACTAGCTAAGGGTCACACAGCAAGCCCGGATGGAGCAGAGCCTTGGCCTCCCATCCTGAGGTCTGCCTGCACCTGAGATGGTGCCGGGGGGCACACACCAGCTGCCAGCCTTGGGGGACCTTGTGGGCAGCAGACAGAGAGACAGGCTTTCCATGGACCTGATCACCACCCTCTCTCGTGCCCTGTCCACCTCTGGCATCGAAGACAACCGAGAATACAGGCTGGGCACGCACTGCAGCTGGCCCCCCCCGGAGACCCTCTTCCTGCCCGCCCACCTGCCACCAGCCTCGGGTCTTTCCCGCCTGTGCCACCAGAAAAAGAGCTTTTGTGCCTACAGTCTCCTTGTCGGACAGGGAAGCCCTGGGCCTAGGAGTTCGTTTAGGGGCGTGGAGGTTTGCTCTGTCAGGTCTGTCCCCTCAGTGGCCTGGAGACCCCCTGTGTCCCTCACTGGAGAAGGCGCCAGGTGCGTCCTGCGGCCTTGCTAGTCCTGACTGGATGCGAACTCAAAGGGTCCCTCTCGTGTACGCTCAAGGGGCGGTGGGGTGCGTGTGGCTGTGACGGGGCACACGAGGGTGGGTTGCATGTCACTCCTTGCATGCCCCCTGCTTTCCATTCTTCCTCTCGCCAACCTCACCACAGACACCCCATTTCCCAGGTGGATTTTCAGTTCTCCGGCTCCTCAGGCAGCAATGCCAAGAGTAGCTCCTGGGGGTCAGAAGGACTAAATCTAGTTAGAAACACCTGTTCCTGGGCCAGCCTCCTTATTGGATCAGACACTATGGGGTTCTGTGCAGCTATATGCAGAGGTGACCCTAACACCCGTGGACTTGGCTGCAGTGGCATCAGAGTATGTGGCCATACATGGAATTTCGGCCCTAGGACTCCCGAGTTCCTCAGCACACGGCTGCTCTGTCCTCAGCAAAGGCCCGTGTGGGGTAATGGGGTATTGGGGAGACACCACCCTTCCTGTTTGTTTGTTTGTTTTTAAATTTTGGACCACATCTAGAAGTGCTCAGGGGATCATATGGGTTACTTGTCACTTGTCATCTCTTGTTCATCAATTTGCTCGAGCGGGTGCCAGTAACGACTCCATTAGTCCCTGTCGCGTGATAGTGTAGCCCAATGGCATATTAGGGGCTCTTTCAGGGTCAGGGGAATGAGACCCATTGTCGCTACTGTTTTTGGCATATCGAACGTCACGGGGAGCTTGCCAGGCTCTGCCGTACGGGCGGGATACTCTCGGTAGCTTGCTGAGCTCTCGAGAGGGATGAAGATAAGATTAGCCGTTGATGAGATTACATGGGGGGCGGGGGGGGCAGTCTGTGGGTGTGACTGCCAAGCTACTGGAAAACTGGGGATCTGGGTGGAGGAGGCCCAGTCCTGATCCGAGCAGGCTTAGAGGTCTCAGCCACGGATTCCTCTACTGGTTCCTTCATGCGTGAGTTGTCTGAGCGGGTGGAGAGTGGCCTTGAGCATGGCTGTGGCTGGGTTCTGGAGGTTTTCAGCTGCTGGGGTTCTGCTTGGGGCGGAGAGGGGAACTCAACCCGCCCCGCTCTGAGGGCCCTTGTGAAGACAGCCTGGCATGGGAACAGGGGGTTCTGCCTGGAATCAAATCTAGGTCAGCTCTATGTAAGGTAATGCTCTCCGCAATGTACTATCCATCCCCATGCCTCTTGCCATCACCCCATATGCACCACTGCCGCAGTTCTGGCTGCCACACCCACTGATCCCTTTGCTCAACAGAGTCCCAGTGGTGCCCATTTTCTGTCACCTGGCAACAGCCCCTCCCACAGACTGGGCGCTCCCCCACCCCCCTCAGGCACACCCCGCATTGCTCAGGCATAGCTCCTGCCAGGGCCTCGGAGACCATATGGTGTGCCGGAGACCAGAGAGGGATCGAGCCCAGGTTGCTTGCTGGGCACGTGCCTTACCTCTGTTCCATGTTCCTGCCCCGGCCCTCTTCTCTGGACCTGCTGACTGCCCTCCTCCCCCTGCCCTCTGCACCCCACCACCACTGAATTTTTCTCCCTCATCTTCAAGGCACACTCAGCTGGGAATTTCTTGAGCTCCCAACAATGTAGATTCTCCAGCTGGTTCCTGCCCACAGCCCTGTGAGGGAGGGTTCTCCTACTGTCTGGGCTGGGCCCCTCTTCCTGGCTCCAGGGCTGATGCACAGCTGGGAGGCGAGTTGCAGAAGCCAGAGTAGGATGTGGGTTTCCTGACGCCCAGGAAAGTTGAGCTCTGGGCAAAGGGAATGAGGGGTGAGGACACAAGCAGGGCATAGGGGCTGCGGGTACAGGGAACTGCACCACCACAGTCCACAGCGGTGGGAGAGCAAGAGCCTTGCCATATAGGGCACTGGTGCAGGGATTGAACCTTCGCTCTCTATGCTCTCAGGTCCCCAGTGTGGGAGGCCCTTCATGCTCCCCAGCTCTATCCTGGGGGAGACTCATAACATAGTATCAGTGTAGTCGGGTGGTGGCAGGACACAGTAACCTCTGCACCTGGTCAGAGGCAGCTCCACGGGCTGTGCTGCACATGGCCTGGTGCCCCTCTCTGCGGCAGAACCGCGGTGCTCTGACACTGGCACCAAAGCCCATTCCTCGTGTGTTGGATGTAGACTGCCCTGCGGCCCTGGAACCAGGGCGCCTCCTGGTGCCTGCCGCCAACACAGACCAAGCATGTGAAGAGCCCCAGGGGCAGGAGGAAGCAGGGACAGACTGAGACGCTGTCACTGCTGCAGCGGGGAGGGAGGCTGGCTTGGGGCAGCTCTGTCCCTTGAGAGGTGGGATGAGAGCCAGGATCCTTAGGGGCGACAACCTCTGCGGGGACACAAGGCGCAGACATCTGGGGCCTGCGGGAGGGTGAGCCCCAGGGCTAGGATCCCCCCACGACACCCGGGTCCATGCCCCCGAGGGTCACCCCCGAAAGCCGGTCCCCACGCTTGAAGCGGGCGGCGGCCAGGAGGGCGTGCAATCCTTGGGTGTCCTCGGAGGCGAGGGGCGGCGCGGCTGCGGACCCGCAGGACCCGGCCGGTCTGCGGCTGCCCAGACCTAGGGGAGAAGCCAGCGACGCGGCGGGATCGGGAGGCGGTGCCGGCCGCGCAGCCTCTACCAATCAGAGCCGCGCGTTCGAATTCGCGTCCTGCTGCTACCAATCGTGCGCGGGCGGGGCGGGCGGGACGGGCGGGGCGGGCGGGGCCCGGCGCCCCCGCGGCGCTCACCCCCCAGGCCGGCCAATGGGCGCGCCGGGCGCGTTTGAAAACTCGGGCGGGCGGCGGCGGGGCGGGGCGGCGCGTGCGCACGGCGGCCGCACGCTCGGGCGGCACACCGTGTGAGGGGCTCGGCGGCGGCGGGCGCAGCGATGGGCAGCGGCGGGGGTGAGCGCGGGCGGTGGGCGCGGCGCGGGGCCGCGGGGCCGCGGGGCCGGGGCGCCCGAGCCCGAGGGGAGCCCGGCCCGGGAGCGCGCTCGGCGCTGAGCGGCGTCCCGGCGGCGGCCGCCCGGCGCGCGGTTTAAATGCCCGGCGGCTCCCGGCGGCCGTGCTCGGGCCGCGCAGCGGGGGCGGGGAGGTGGTTTCGGGGCGCCCGCCGCGGCCCCCGGCGTTTTCAGGGTCGGGCTTCGAGGGCGGGTCGGGGACGAGCTGCTGCCGCGGTCAGCCAGCCCCGTGGGGTAGGGATGAGCCGGGCGGAGAGCGGCCCGCACGGGGAGGGTCCCCCCGACGGTGGCCTAGGTTTGGGGGGTCGCGGGGCGCAGATGCTGGAGTGGAAGCATCCCGGGGGCTGCTGACAGCGCCGTGCGGACACTTGCCCGGGCCTGGCGCCCGGCCCTGCCTGGCCCCGCCGTGTCTGCTGGCACACGGTGCTGCACGGGGCACCGGCGCTTCCCCAGAGCAGAGGGAAGCGCAGCCGCGGGCACAGCCGCGGGCCCCTTTCTTCCTCTTCCCGCTTTGCCGGGCTCTGCACGGGAACGGTTCCTAACAGCCGAGCGGAGGGGTCCGTGCCCTGGGTGCTGGGTGACCCGTGTTTCATCGCGCTTCCCGTGTCTCTCCAGGGATCCACTGCAGGTGCGCCAAGTGCTTCTGCTACCCCAAGCGCCGGCTGCGGAGGCGGCCCCGGCCCCTGAGCCTGCTGAGTCTCCCCGAGGACGTGCTCTTCCACATCCTGAAGTGGCTCTCGGTGGGGGATATCCTCGCCGTCCGTGCTGTAAGTGGTCTGTGCCGGCTTTGAGTCTCAGTGTCAGAGCAACACTTGGGTGACCCGGGACAGGCTGCTGTTGGGGTAGGCGCGAGAGGGTGTCCCGCTACGGGAAGCCACCTGCTTGCTGCCACGTTTCAGCAGGGAACCCGGGAGATGCCGGCCGTGTTTGGGGCCACCCTGAGTTTTGCCCCAACACATCCTGTCCTGGCACCCCCCTCCCGTCCCCCCCCACCTGTCCCCCCTCCCACCTGTCCCCCGTCCCCAAGGCCATCCAGACTGGGCTGGGTGTGTCAGGCCCCCAGCACTCCTGGGTGTGGCCTGAGGGGGAGAGATGGTATCGCTAAAATAGCCTGCTCCTCACACAGCCCGCAGTGCTCAGCCTGGATGGGCAGCTAGGAGCCTGTCACCGCCCAGTGACTACACCCTTGGGCGCAGGACTGGGCTTCTCCCGCCAGAGAGAAACAGCAGGTCCGAGGTGGCCCCCGCTGGTGTTAGGGTGTGCAGTTCCCACCCCAGGGGAGCCTCAGCCTTTCGGATGCCCACAGAGCCTGCAGAGAGTTTGGGGCAGAAGCACTGCCTGCCCCCAGCTGCTCTGCGCATGGTCTCCTCAGCACCGAGCCCTCAGGCTCTTGATGGAGGCTCTGACTGGGAGGGTCCTGGGCCTTGCTTACCTGACTGAGGGCAGAGGCTTCTGAGGGACCCTGAGATTTGGACCCGTTAGGCTCCAGCTGAGCTTCATAGACCAGGGTGCGGCCCCCTGCCCTCTGCTGATGGGGTGTGTGCCCCTTTGGTCTGTTCAGAGTGAGCCTGCGCCCTCACTGACCGCCTCCCCCACGTAGGTCCATTCTCACCTGCGGGCCCTGGTGGACCATCACAGCAGCGTGTGGGCGAGTGCCAGCTTCCAGGAGCTCTGGCCTTCCCTACAGAATTTGCAGCTCTTTGAAAGGTACGCCCCTGCCCGCCCCTGCCGCTGGGCCTGTGCCGCCCCTGCCGCCACCTCTGGCAGGTGCCGTCCCCGGACTTGGCCCGAGGAGCCGCTTAGATGTCCTTGGTCGTCCCACCCCGGCTCCTGCCCTGACTGCGTGTGGACCCTTTCCTGGTGATTTTACTCACCCATTCCACCTCCTGCTGGTATCAGGACCCAGATGGCCCCTGTGTCCCCCTCTACCCTTGTCCTGTCCCTGATGAACCTCCCTTCCTTCTGCTGGCTGGCTGGGGGTTAGGGCTCAGGCTGGTCTGAGCAGAGAGGGCAGCCTCCCTGCACCCCGGGTTCGCGGGACCCAGGGGCAGCACACCCGCTGAGCCTGTCCCCGCCACCCCCTAGTCCCGAATCACTGCCAGTGGGCGTGTGTCACCAGGACCCCGCCAGGCCACTCAGCCACGGCAGCTGGCTCTCGGGTGCACGCTGGCACACATGCTCGGGCGGGGGGTGGGGGGCACCAAGCTTCCGTCTCACTTCCTGGGCGCATTAGTGCTCTGGGAGCCGTGTCCGCAGCCCCTGTGGCCTGTTCAGCTTGTCCTCCAGCTTGTGTAGCTGTCACCGCTCCCTTAGTGCACTGCAGGGGCCCTGGAGAGACCCCACACCCTTGGGGTTCCTCCCTGTGCCCCTGGACCCAGTGCTCTCGAATCTGATTTACTCACAACCCTCTTCCGCTGAGACGGTTGTACTGCCGTATATAGACCCAAAGAGGGGAACAAATGGGAGCCCAAAAATAGTATGCTAGGTTGACTTTTGGTTTTTGGCCACCCCTGGCAGTATTCAGGGCTCACTCCTGGCTCTGTGCTCAGGGTCACTCCCGACTGGGCTTGGGAACTCTTTGAGGTACTGGGAATCTAACCCATGCAGCTGCGTACATGGCAAGTACTCTAACCACTGGACTGTCTCTCCAGCCCTTAGTCATTTTTGTGGGGGGCCATATCTGGCAATGCTAAGGGCTTCCTCTTGCCTCTGCACTCTAGAATCACTCTTGGCTGTATTTGGGGGACTATATGGGGTGTCAGGGATCAAACCCTGATCGGTCACATGCAAGGCAAGCGCCCTCCCCACTGTCCTGCTTCCCAGGTCCTCCATTGCCCACCTTTCAAGCCGCGTGACCCTATGTGGGGTGACGACCCACAGCTTCAGCACCTGGGCCCCTGGCGGCCACGGGTAGCGGTCCAGTGTTTCCTGACCCTAGGTGAACCAGTGCTGGGTGCTGCCGACTGGGGGCCCCAGGCTCAGGTTTCTCTGCCTGAAGATGTCTCTAAGCCCCCGTGTGGCCGCCAGCCGAGGGCACGGTTGGATGATGACTTCGCGGCTCTCTCTTGGGAAACACGTGGGCGACTGGAAGGGTCACCGGCTGTTCTTTGCGTCCAGGGCTGCGGAGAAGGGGAACTTTGAGGCTGCCGTGAAGCTGGGCATCGCCTACCTCTACAACGAAGGCCGTGAGTGGCGCAGGGCACAGGGCAGGCGGAGGGGTCATGGGATGAACACGGGACACAGGATAATGTGGGGGTTACGGACGGGGGCCGTGGCGTGGGCGCGGGGGATTTGGTGTTAGCGGGGACTGCTGCCGTGCTGCCCTCCTGCAGGGGCCAGCGTGTGCCTTCCCGTCCCCTGGGAGTGGAGGCCCCACGTGTCTGCAGGACCTAGTGACGAATGTTTAGAGGTTGGGAGAGTCACCAGGTTTCATCAGGCCCTGGTTTGGGGCCTGGTAGCGTTTGGGGCCACACAAGCGGTGCTCAGGGGCCCTTGTGGGTTCTGGGAATTAGATGGGGGTCAGAGAGCCCCACCCTCTACTGTCCCCTGTCGCAGCCCGTTTGTTGTCTGTTCAGTGGCCAGGTGGAGACTTACTGGGGGGGGGGGGGCAGCTGCCCGCAGTCAGCCGCTTAGTCCAGGGGTGGCCGTGACTGAGTTCCGGTGTCCTCGGGCAGCTGTGACGGACCCCCCTGGAGCCCTGAGGTTTGCTGACGGGGAGGCAGCGGGACCCCGGTGGGCTTCAGGGTCCCCAGCGGTGGCTTCTCCCACACAGCTTTCCAGGAAAAGCCCGTGGTTTTTATCTTTATTATTTTATTTTTCTGAAGCAAGGTAGCTATCGAATAAACCTTGTGTAGAAAGGTGTGAAAGGAAAGAAAGAGGGAAATGTACTATTGTCACACTGGACCCTCCTCTGTCTTAATGACCTTTCACCCCCATCCCTCACATGCTTGTAATTTCCTCTATCGACCAGTCCTTCTGGCCCCTGTTGTTCTATCCTACAAATGAGTGCAATCATTCTGTATCTGTTCCTCTCTTTCTAACTCATTTCACTCAGCACAGTACTCCCATGTCCATCCATTTGTAGGCAACTTTCATGACTTTATTTTTCCTTAACAGCTGCATAGTATTCCGTTGTGTAGATGTGCCATAGTTTCTTTATCCAGTTGTTCGTTCTTGGGCACTCAGGTTGTTTCCAGATTCTGGCTATGGTAAATAGTGCTGCAGTGAACACAGGGGTGCAGATGGGGTTTTTGCTGTGTGATTTTGGGCCTCCGGGGTATATTCCCAGAAGTAGTGTTGCTGGGTCAAATGGAACTCAATTTCTGGTTTTTTTGTTTTTTTTTTTTGTTGTTTTTTTTCTTTTTGGGTCACACCCAGCGATGCACAGGGGTTACTCCTGGCTCTGCACTCAGGAATTACTCCTGGTGGTGCGTGGGGAGACCATATGGGATGCTGGGAATCAAACCCGGGTCGGCCGCGTGCAAGGCAAATGCCCTACTTGCTGTCCTATCGCACCAGCCCCAATTTCTGGTTCTTTGAAGAATGTCCATATTGTTTTCCAAAAAGGCTGGACCAGCCGGTATTCCCACCTACAGTGAAGGAGAGTCTCTTCCTCCCCACATCCGCGCCAGCACTGGTTGTTCTTGTTCTTGTTGATGCGGGCCGGTCTCTGTGGTGGGAGATGGTATCTCATTGTTTTTGATTTGCATCTCCCTGATGATTAGCGATGTAGAGCATTTTCTCATGTGCCTTTTGACCATTTTAATTTCTTTGAGGAAGTTTCTGTTCATTTCTTCTCCCCGTTTTTTGATGGGGTTGGAGGTTTTTTTCTTGTAAAGTTCTACCAGCGCCTTGTATATCTTTGATATTAACCCCTATCAGATGGGCATTGAGTGATTATTTTTTCCCCTTTTGGGGACTGTCTTTGTATCTCGGTCACTTTTTTCCTTTGAGGTGCAGAAACTTCATAGTTTAATGTTGTCCTATTTGTTAATCTTTGCTTCCACTTGCTTGGTCAGTGATGTTTCATCTCTGAAGATGCCTTTAGCTTCAGTGTCATGTAGGGTTTTGCCTCCATTTTCTTTCATGTAGCTTATGGATTCAGGTCTGATGTTGAGGTCTTTAATCCATTTTGATCTGACTTTTGTGCCTGGTGTTAGAGGTCTGAGTCCATTGTTTACATTGTTTATATTTGAGGGTTTGGGACAAATTCAGAATTTTAAAAGTAGAAAAGATTTTAGACTGATTTTGGGTCATATCTGGTGATGCTCAAGGGTTACTCCTGGCTCTGTGCTCAGAATCACTCCTGGCAGTGCTTGGGGGACTAGATAGGACGCCAAGATCTAACCTGGGTCAATTGTACTGTCTCTCCGGCTCCAAGATTTCAGATATTTAAGCACGGAATGAGGCTAAAACCATGCTACAGTGGGTCGGGCACTTGCCTTCCACGCCATTGACCATGGTTTGGTCCCCTGAGCCTCACCAGGTATGAGCCCTGAGCACAGAACCAGGAGTAAGCCTCGAGTGATGCAGGGTGTGACCTAAAAGTTCAATGGATCAGTCGTTTCCTAAAAAGAGAGAGCAGAGGAGCGTTGCACCCGCCCCAGCGTCGCCCCTGCTCTGTCCCTGCAGTGTCCGTGTCCGATGAGGCCCGCGCCGAGGTGAACGGGCTCAAGGCCTCCCGCTTCTTCAGCCTGGCTGAGCGGCTGAGCGCAGGCGCCGCGCCCTTCATCTGGCTCTTCATCCGGCCACCCTGGTCGCTGTCCGGGAGCTGCTGCAAGGCCGTGGTGCACGAGAGCCTCCGTGCCGAGAGCGAGCTGCCAGGGGTGAGTCTGCGGGGCCGGGGCCGCCCCAAGGGGCTGGGAGCAGCGCGCTCACGGCTCCTTTCCCTGTCTAGGCTCACAAGGCGTCCATCCTGCACTGCCTGGGCCGGGTGCTGAGTCTCTTCGAGGTGGGTCCCCTTGCTGTGTGGGTCCCGGGTACACGCCGCTCCCATGCTTGGTGGCCGGGGAAGGAGGCGGGGCCCATGGGCAGCTGCGCTTGTCCTGCAGGATGAAGAGAAGAGGCGGCAGGCCCGGGACCTGTTTGAGGCGTCTGCGAGTCAGGGCTGCCTGCCCAGCGCCTACCTCCTGTGGGAGAGCGACAGGGACGCAGATGTGAGTGGATGGGGGAGGGGGGTGGCAGCATGGTCCCCAAAGCGCTCCCTGGAGAAGGTTCGCCTCTGACCCCCAGGAGCTGGTGGTCAGTGGTCACTTGGCACAGTCCTGAAATACCCACTGTCACTTGGGCATCCAGCCCTGAGCAGAGTGGCTGGCTCCTTCCGAGAGGGGGCAGGTTGAAGAGTTTCTCCTCTCCTTGCCAGATGTCTGACCCTGGACGATGCCTCCACAGCTTCCGGAAACTCAGGGACTACGCCGCCAAGGGCTGCTGGGAAGCCCGGGTGAGGCCTGACTCCTGCTGCTGACTTCCTGCGGGGCGGCCGGGTCTTTAGAGAGTTAGTTTTCAGTTTGGGGAAACCCAGCCCGCAGTGCTCAGGACTGACTCCTGGCTCTCTGCTTAGAGATCCCTTCTGGCGCGAGGCCGGGGACCGGCGGGGATGGTAGGCCCCGTGCGAGCCCAGAGCCCCGCCCGCTGTGCTGTCGCTGCAGCCCCCGGAGGAGTTTTGATCCAGGGTACAGGGGTCAGCCTGGAGATGCTTGTCCCAGGTTCCTGCTGCCTCGCCTGGCTCAGTGGCACACCGCCCGTCCCCAGAGGGTGGCAGCAGACAGGCCCCGTGGGAGACATGGGCAGGCTGAGCGTGGGACATGCGTTTGTCCCCTCTGGTGGTGCGGCGGGTGAGAGGAGTCCAGGAAGAACCGAGGTCTGTGGCCAGGGGCTCTGTGGTCCCGTGGCCAGCTCGGACGTGGGCCTAACCCTACTCTGTGTCCCCGCAGCTTGCCCTCGCCAAGGCCTGTGCGCACCGGAAGCAGCTGGGGCTGGAGGTGGGCGCAGCCAGCGAGGTGGTCAGCCAGCTCTTCCAGAGCTCCCCGGCCGTCAGCAAGCAGCGCGTCTTCTCCGTGCAGAAGGGGCTCAGCGACACCATGCGGTGAGCCCGGGCGTGGCCCCTTGCTCTGACTCGGGGGGACTGCGGGCCTGCTCTCTCCCCTGCCTCTTGCCACAACCCGCACAGACCTGGATAGACCTGCGCGAGGCTCGGCCCTGCTGGCTGCAGGTGTAGCTTGATGGGATTTTTTTGTTTTTGGGCCACACCCTGTGTGCTCACGGCTGACTCCTGGCTCTGTGCTCAATAGTCACTCCTGGTCAAGCTCTGGGGACCGTATCGGGTGCCAGGGTTCGAATCCAGATTGGTCCCATGCAAAGGCAAGTGCCCTCCCCGCTGTACTGTCGCTCCAGCCCGATACTTTGTTTTTTAAAAATTTTATTTTAGGGGTCGGAGTGACAGTACACTCCGGGGAGGGCGTTTGTCTTGCACGTGGTCGACCCGGGTTCGAATCTCAGCATCCCATATGGTCCCCCAAGCACCGCCATGAGTAATTCCTGAGTGCAAAGCCAGGAGCAACCCCTGTGCATCGCCGGGTGATGTGACCCAAAAAGCAAAAGAAAAAAAAAATTTTTTTTACTTTCAGCTGTGTGGTTTACAGCGTTGTTGGTGGTCGGGTTTCCCACATCACAGCGCCTCACGTCCTCCACAGCATTCACTGCCCTCCGCCTTTGGTTCACTGCCCTCGCCCCTTAACCTGTGCGCTGTTTCTCCTGAAGACCCCTTCTCGGGCTGGAGAGATAGCATAGTGGGTAGGGCGTTTGCCTTGCACGCGGCTGACCCGGGTTGGATTCCCAGCATCCCATATGGTCCTCTGAGCACTGCCAGGAGTAACTCCCGAGTGCAGAGCCAGGAGTAACCCCTGTGCATCGCCGGGTGTGACCCGAAAAGCAAAAAAAAAAAAAAAAAAAAATTCCCTCCTCAGTGTCCACTACCTTTGGGCGTGTGTTCCCCTACTGTGTTTTCTGTCACACAGAGGAGAGAGGTCATTCTGCATGTCCCTCTTCAGGCTGACCTCAGCATGATACTATCCATCCACCCAGGGTGCAGCAATCGCAGAGTTCATCTCAAAGTAATTTCCCATCGTGTATGTGTATACAGGCGCTTTCTTTTTTCTCTTTTGGCTCTTGGGCCATAGCTGGCAATGCTCAGGGGTTACTTCTGGCAGGCTTGGGGGATCACATGGGGTCCTGTGGATCGAACCCAGGTTGGCTGCCTGCAAGGCATGCCCTACCTGCTCTATTATCTGTGCCCCTGTACCCTGGTCTCCTTATTTAGTCCTCTGTACTTGGGCACTTGAGCTGTTGCTGGTTTTGGCTATTGTGAGTCATGCTACAGTGAAGATTGGAGTGCGTGTGGATTTTCTGAGGAGGTTTTGGGCCCTTGGGGTAGATGCCAAGAAGTGGAATTGCTGGGTCAATTTTCTGAGGAAAATTGACCATATGGTTTTCAAAAAAAGCTGGTCCAGGGACCAGAGCAATAGTACAGTGGGGAGGGCATTTGCTCTGCACACGGCTGACCCGGTTCCATCCCTGGCACATCATATGGTCCTCCAAGCACCGCCACGGGTGATTCCTGAGTGCAGAGCCGGCCCATTTCCCCACGCCCCCGCCGTCTCTGGGTCTTTGCAGTCTGTGCCAGTCCCACTGGTGACTCGCAGGTCCCCGATGTTAGTGATGTGGCCATTGTTTTACCCGCCTGGGAACTTTCGGTGGGTCCCCTTGGAGGAAGTGCAAACGCACTTTGTGTCTGTCTGTGCCTGGCATGCCGGGAGTGCCCCATTGGGGAGACTAGCCTAGTGCCGGGATATGGCTCTGCATGTGGGACCCCGAGATCGACCCCCAGCACTCACGGTTACCTCGAGTACCCTGTTGGAAGTGACACAGAAACCACAACCGATGATAATAAAGTGGGACCGAGAGAGGGCACAGTGGGGAGGGCACTCTCCGGGCACGGCTGGCTCGGGTTTGGTCCCCAGCTCCCCATAGGTTCCCCTGAACACTACCAGGATTGAGCCCTGAGCATCGGTGGTGTGACCCTAAACCAAAACCAAAAGTATAATAACAATCGAATGGACAGGCTTCTCCCATATGGCGTGGATCCTGCCCACGGGTGCCCCCACCCTGCCTGCCCTATGGTCTTCCCAGTTCTGTGCCCAGGCTGGGAGGCAGCGGCCGGCTGCAGGCCCTTGCAGCGTGGTGGCGCGCGCTGAGGCTTGGGTGACTGTCCTCAGGTACATTCTGATCGACTGGCTGGTGGAAGTGGCTACCATGAAAGACTTCACGAGCCTGTGTCTGCACCTGACCGTGGAGTGTGTGGACCGCTACCTGCGGAGGCGGCCCGTCCCCCGACACCGGCTCCAGCTGCTGGGCATCGCCTGCATGGTCATTTGCACCCGGTGAGCAGCCCACAGCTGCCCGCGGCCCGTCTCTCCCCGTCCTCTCGGCCCCTCAGCACACAGGGTGGCTGCAGAGGCCCCAGAACTGTGGTCACTGTCAGCCCTGGTACAGCCTGTGTAGAAGCCAGCCTGGCTGGCCCAAAGAACTGTGTTGAGGATGGTGGCCCCCAGGGCAAGTGATTGGTCACACCCCAACCAATGCAGCCCTCAGACAATCCCAGGGTCAGCTGACTCTGTCCCGGGCCTAGTGGCTGAGCTGTCTCCTACCCAGTGGCTAAGGTCTGTCCCTGCTCACTGGCTGAGCCGTCCCCTGCCCAATGGCTGAGCTGTCCCCTAACCAATGGCTAAGTTGTCCCTTGCCCAGTGACTGAGCTGTGTCCCCTGCCCAGTGGCTGAGCTGTCCACAGCCCAGTGGCTGAGTTGTCCCCTGCCCAGTGGCTGACCTGCCCCCTGCCATTGGCTGACCTGTCCCCTGCCCTGTGGCTAAGCTCTGTCCCTGCCCTTTGACAGAGCTGAGCTGTATCCTTTGCCCAGTGGCAGGTGCAAGGGACAAACCCTGGGTGAGGGCCGACTGGCATAGCCACATGCAAAGACCACTGTGAGCCTGATGGCTCCTTCCTGCCCTCCCAGCCTGTGGCTGAGCACGTCCCGTCGATGTCCCCTCGGCACCCTCCACCTCTTGGGCCTGGAGCCTGGGGGCGCCCTGCGGGGGCTGTGCTCTTGTGCTGAGCAGCTTCTGGCCGCCTAGGTTCATCAGCAAGGAGATCCTGACCATCCGAGAGGCTGTGTGGCTCACGGACAACACTTACAAGTACGAGGACCTGGTGCGCATGATGGGCGAGGTGGTCGCCGCCCTGGAGGGCAGGATCCGTGTGAGTGTGGCCGCTGCCCACGGGGGGCGGCAGGGGGCGGCCGGGCGGCGGGGGCGGGGGCCGAGCCCCACATGCCGTGCCATCCAGGTCCCCACCGTGGTGGACTACAAGGACGTGCTGCTGACCCTGGTGCCCGTGGCACCCCGCACCCGGCGCCTGTGCGGCTTCCTGTGCGAGCTGTCCCTGCTGCACCCCGGGCTGGCCGTGTACTCGCCCGCACGCCTGGCCGCCGCCGCCCTGCTGCTCGCCCGGCTCACGCATGGCCAGAGTAAGGGGCGCCCCGGGGTGGGGGGTGGGGTGGTGCTGGGCCCTTCTGGGTGACCTGCCGACCCCCACTGAGCGACTGCTCCCCTCCCTCCCAGCACAGCCCTGGAGCCCCTGGCTGTGGGACCTCACGGGCTTCTCCTGTGAGGCGCTCACGCCCTGCGTCCTGAGCCTCCATCAGAAGTGGTGAGTGATGGGAGGGCCTGGGCTGGCTCCCTGCCCCCGGGAGGCCCGCTCCAGGTCAGCAGCAGCCTGTTGGCCCCCCTGGGAGGGGATGGCGGGCCTGGGGACCCCAGCTTCCTGCTCCTGGGGCTGGACGCAGTCCCTGCAACGCGCCCTGTGACGCTCCGTGCAGCTTCCACGATGATGCCCCCAAGGACCACCGGCAGGTGTCTCTGACCGCCGTGAGGCAGCGATTCGAGGACATCAGCCAGGAGGAGGTGCCCGTCCCTCCCGTCCCCAGGGCTCTGTGGGGGTGGGTGCGGCTGGCCTGTCCCCTGACCCTGCGCCCCCCAGGTGCTGAGCTACGGCCAGCTGTGTGCGGCTCTGGGCGTACAGCAGGACAGCCCTGAGCCCACGTCCTTCCTCGGTGCTGGCGACATCCACAGCTTCCTCAGCTCGCCCTCCGGCCGGAGAACCAAGCGGTAAGCCATCCTGGCCACTTCGGCCTCTCCTTCCTCCTGCTGTGGCAGGGCACTCACCCTGCCACTCCCTGTCCTGGTCCCCTCTTGACATCCCCGTGGGCCCCAGGGACCCCTGCCTTCACCTCCTGGCCTCTCCCCATGAATGTCCTCATGAGCCCAAGCCCACGTGGGCAGGATATGGGCATCGGCCACCAGTGGCTTGATCCCGACTTTCCCAGCGGCAGTCTAGGTGTTGGTTGGCCACTTACTGGCATGGCCACAGGACAGGACCCCAGCGCTACCGCCTGTGACTAGCTCTCCCCTACAGGAAACGGGAGAACAGCCCCCAGGAGGACAGGGGCAGCTTTGTCACTACACCAACCGCTGAGCTGTCCAGCCAGGAGGAGACCCTGCTGGGCAGCTTCCTGGACTGGAGCCTGGACTACTGCTCGGGCTACGAGGGCGACCAAGAGAGTGAGGGCGAGAAGGAGGGCGACGGTGAGCCTGCCTTGTGGGGACAGCCTTGGAGGGCACGACAAGCTCTTTCTAGAATGTTCTGCGGAGTGTGAGCACATGCAGATACTGGGCTCTGCTGTGTTTGGGGCGGTCTGAGTTTATATCCTTTGGGTGATAGGTCCAGGGCCAGTCTGCTGTCCGCACTGCAGTCACTTACCAAGGAGTGGGACAGGCTGGTGGCGGTCACAGGTGTGGCTGAACGCCAGTCATGGTCGCTGGCCTGATTTGCCCCTCCTGTCTCCCGCAGTGACGGCTCCCAGTGGTCTTCTCGATGTCACCGTGGTTTGCCTGAACGCACAGCAGCACTGCTGCCAGGACTCCAGCGACGAGGACGAGAACGTCGCCTGCCCGGAGGAGGAGGGAGCCCGCCACACAGCCCCAGTGGCCCCAGGACCAACCAGCCCTCCGTGCAGCGCAGCAGAGCCAGCCCACGACGTGACCACCTCGGGGTACTCCTCGGTCAGCAGCACGAGCCCCACAAACTCGGCGGACATAGGCGGCCCTTCCCGATCTACCTCTGTGCTGTCCCTGGGCAGCGACCTGTGCACACAGCCCTGCCGACAGCGCTGGCCCCCCGAGAGTGGCTTTCCCCGGCGGCAGGTGAAGAGGAAGAACCTGTCGGCCTATGACGAGCAGGACGCAGCCCTGGGCTTCCTGCGCCTGTGAGCGCGCCTGGTACCTGAGCCCGCCCTGCCACCGGCAACTGGTGGGAGGGAAGCTCAGACCAGAGTCCGCACCGAGGTTCCCCACTCCTGTGGCCTGACCGCTGTCCTCCCAGGCTCCTCTGTGGGTGGGGGCCTTGCCCAGTGGTGCTCGTGGGTCACTCCTCAGTGGTGCTTGGGGCAGTCAGACCCGGTGCCCGGAGGGAGCAGGGCTGGCCATCTGCTGGGTAAGTGCCTTGTGCCTTTCTAACCCTCCAGCCTTAATCCTCTTAAGACAAAAGGAACAAGAGGTTCTCAATTATTTGGGCTCCGCTCAGGCCCTTGTGCATGTCCTGACCCCACAGAACTCCTGGTGAGGGGACAGGAGCCATTTCCCAGTGGAGTCACTGCCCCAGTGCCCAGAGCCCCAGACCTGAGGGGACTGTGTAGTCTGCTCCTGTTCTCCTCCGTGTGTGCCCCCATGTGTCCGTTCCCTGCCCCACCGTCAAGACTTCTGCTGCTGTGAGAATTCAGACCCCAGGCTGGGCCCGGTGGGGAGGAACGCAGCTGTGGACGCAGCTCCTGCCTGCCACGCTCCTGGGCCTGTATGAGCCTGGCTCCCTCGTCGAGGGGGGGGCCCCCAATACCTACCTCACAGGTGGTGAGGATTAAAAGTGGTGCAGATGGACGTGTGTGAGTGACTCCTTGTGCTTGAGTGTGCATAAGCGAGCCCAGTCACCCTGCAAAGAAGCTGCACCAGATCCGGGGTCCGCTGGCCTCTCTCAGGCCTCCGATGCTGTCAGACTGGCATGGGGACTCCTCTGGCCCAGGGGTCACTCGGCCATCCAAATACTTGCTCCCTCTATTCCCCGGAGAACCTCAGTGGACTGGGGACCTCTTCATTCCACCCCGGTGGTGTGGGTGGGTACTGAGGAGCCTCACAGGGCTCTTGCCTGATCCCTCTCCTTCTGGCACCCAACACTGTCCTGGCATCCCTGGGAAGCAGAGCCTGGTCACTGTTCCCCTCCCTATCCCCTACACTGCAGTCATGACGGGGGTGGAGGGGGTGGGTTTCCATTTCCTCACCCCTCCCTCTTGGCCAGTTATCAGGACCAGGGAGTCCAGGTGCCCACTGGACACCTCCTTGGGATGACATCACCTCCTCCAGTATGTTGCAAAGGGATGGCCCCTTGCGGTCAAAACCCCTGCCTGCGGGCGGGAGTGATAGCACAGCTAGTAGGGTGTTTGCCTTGCACGCGGCCGACCTGGGTTCTAATCCCCGGCATCCCACATGGTCCCGCGAGCACCACCAGGACTAATTCCTGAGTGTAGAGCCAGGAATAACCCCTGAGCATCGCTGGGTGTGACCCAAAAAGCAAAAAAAAAAAAAGCAACCCTGCCTGGTCCCTGACACGCACCTCCTCCTCCTCCAAACTGCCTGCTGTTGGGGCCAGAGCAGTAGTACAGCGGGGAGGGCATTTGCCTTGCACGCGGCTGACCCTATTTGATCCCCGGCATCCCATGGCATCCCCGAACAGTGCAGAGCCAGGGCTAACCCCTGAGCGTCTCCAAATGTGACCCTCCCGCCCTCCCCTCGCCGTGCGCGCGCCCGAGCCTGGCCCCGAACACCTCACGCGGCCCCTGCAGGAGAGATGCCTGCAAGCCAGGAATAAGCCCGGAGCACAGCCCGGGGGAGGGACCATGCGCAGGCCGCCTGGGGTTCCTGGGGCGGCAGTGACTCAGGATCAAGCCGTTTCGGGGGCGCGCGAGTGAGACGCGGCGGGACCGCGGAGGCGGGGCCTCAGCTGGGCCCGGGGTTGGGCGGCCCGGCCGGAAGGGGCGGTCCTTTCCCGGGAAGGGGCGGGGCCGCGGCAGGGCGGTAAATCCTGCGGGCCGAGGCCGCGGCGCTCATGCTCCCCGCCGGCTGCTCGCGCGGGTGAGGCGGGGGACCGGGGGCGGGGGCCCACGGCCACGCGCGGCCGAGGGCTGAGCCGCCGGCGCGTCCTTTCCAGGCTGGTGGCCGAGCTGCAGCACGCCCTGGACACCTGCGCCGAGCGGCAGCGGGAGCTGGAGCAGAGCCTGCGAGTATCCCTGCGGCTGCTGCGTGCCTGGTTCGTGGGCCCCGAGACCCTCAGATCCCTTTCCGCCCCAGGGCCTCGCGTCGCCTCCCTGTGGGCTGAGCTGGGCAGCCACAGCGTCCCTGCCTCGCGGTCACGTCGTGCTAACCCCTGTCTTGCAGGGACCCTGCCGACAGCCCCGCCCCAGAAGCAACCCCAGGGTGCAAACCTGACCAAGAGACCCTTACTTCAGGTACATCGCCCCCTGACCCAGAGCCGCCCTCTGGCCTCAGTGGGCCCCTTCCCCAGCCCCGCAGGGTCACCCTCTTCTGGACTTCCGCAGCATGCACGCCCAGCCCCCGGGAACTGGAGGAGCTGCAGCTTCTGACCCTGGCGCTGGAGAAGGCAGCCCGCGTGCGCAGACTCACCTCCCGGCCTGCAGCGAAAGACAGGGCCTTGCGCCAGAAGGTGGGCTGCATCCCGGCCCCAGGCCGGGCTGGCCTTGGGGCAGCAGGGAGCAAGCCACCCCGCGGCAGCCGCCAGCCTCCCTTGCCCAGCAGCACAGCTGAGTACAGGCCCCCGCTGGCCAGCCCTGCAGAGACTTCGGCCCCCCAAGCTTTCACGCTGAAGGACAAGGGGTAGGTCCCTCCTGCACCCTGGCCTGCCACACTCCTCTCTGCCCAGGGACACCCTGGTCGAAGCAATTGTCTGGGGCTTGAAGAGGGTCCCCTTTGAGCTTTGAGCCTGCCCTGCCGCCCTGTAGGACAGTGGGCTGGCCAGCTTTGTCCCACCACCCGGAAGGGTCTGGGGGGTGCAGACGCTTCCTCCTGGGGGTGGGGGGCTGCGCTAAGCAGACTCTGTCCGTAGGACCCTGCTGCAGCTGCCTGCGGCCTTCAGGACAGCCGCCTCCGCCAACTCCCGGTGAGCCAGGGCTGGGCTGTGGGGAGGCCGGACAGGCCTCCACTGAGGGAAGCACCCCACGGAGGTCCATCCTATTCCCCTACGTCCTACTTGAGCATGTGTTAGCGTTTGCACCCGCTAGGGGGTCTCCCGCACTGCGGGTCCGCCTTGCACGCAGTGCCCTGGGGCCTTGCCGGGCAGCCTGTGTTCTTAGGGGGCTGTGGCCCCCGGGCGCCCCCCTCCCCGAGCCCAGCCCTCGCGTCTGACCAGTGTCCTCCCCAGCCTGTGGGCCGAGCTGAACTCCCAGGCCAGCGGGCCCGCGGATGCCGTCAGCGCCAGGGCCCAGTTCCTCCGGCAGATGCCGCCTGCAGTATCCTTGCCCCAGGGGCTTCTGGCTCCCCCGGGAGGCGGGGAGGGTGTCCAGGGCCACCCCGGTTCGGACCATCCCTGACGGCGAGCGCAGACAGACTTGGGCTCAGAGCCCTGCGCGGCGGAGGTACAGCGCCTGCGCAAGGCCTGCTCGCTGCTGCGGCTGCGCCTGGGCCAGGAGCTCGCGGCAGGTCAGTGGCGCCCGGCGGGTGGGGGCGGGGGCGCCGGCGGGCTCGGCAGGCGGGAACCCACCGCCCCTGCACCCCGCAGGCCCAGCGGAGCCGAGGCAGGAGTACCAGCGCCTGCTCACGCTGGAGGGGCTGCGCGACGCGGCCGGCGGGTGTCAGCGCCGGTTGCAGGAGCTGCGCGCAGGTGAGCAGGGACCCACACTGGGTAGACGGTGTCCTTGGCGGCGTGGGGGCTGCTGCAGCATCTGGTGTCTGCATCCCACAGCCGCTGCCGAGCCTTGGCCGGAACGGACAGCTGCAGGGGGCTCTCCCCGTGGTGGAGGGAACGCACAGCCGCCCTGGGACTCCCAGCTGCTTGTCTACTCCAGCCCGCGGGAGCTGCAGACCCTGGCCGCCCTGCGGCTGCGGGTGGCCATGCTCGACCAGGAACTGCACCTCCAGGAGGTACTCCGGGGCCAGGCCCTGACACAGGACACAAACTGCCAGGCCTGCCCTGTGCGACCAAAAAGTGCCCACTTTGTAGGTTCTGTGTGGGGAGGAGGGACAAGCCTGGGACTGGGCAGGCTCCTGACCACACCCTGGCCCTGCCCTCCCCCAGGTCCTGATGGCGCAGCTCCTGCCGGTGCTGCGTGCCCAGCAGCCCTCGGGGTCCCCGGGGTTGGTGCTGTACCGGGCCGCACACAGCCTGCTCTGCGAGGGGGGCGAACGCTTTGTATCCACTCTGAGGGACGATCCCACCGACTGAGCCCAATGCCAACCACACAGCAGCTGGCAGAGCGAGGCTGGCCCTGCGGGCACAAGGAGGCAGAACCCCAGAGGGTCGCCAGTCCCTCTGTTCTCCCTCTCGCTACATAAAGCCACATGTCAGCACCACTTTGAAACATGTATGCACTTCCCTCCTACTGGGACAGCCGGGTGGGTGTTGTTTTCTTTGGTTCATTTCTCTGGAACATGTTGGGGGCACAGAGAAAGCTCAGGGCCTAAGGTACTTGGTACTTATACTAAGGTACAGGTACTAGGGTACTTGCCTTGCAGCTGGCTGAGTCCCACCGAGCCTGAATCCCGCCACCACATAGGGTTCCCTAAGCACTGCCAAGAGTAACCCCTGAGCACTGTCTGATGCGACCTCTACCCCAAAAACAAACCAACCCGTTGTAGAGGAAACAGTTGAGACACGTGTCCTGGGTTCATCTCCAGCACCAGTGTAGGCCACAAGCATTGCCAGGTCACTTGTGGCACAGAGCCCATCTCTTCTGTGTAGAGGTGGAGGGGGCCTGAGGCCACTCCCATGTACCTAGAGCTTCCCCACGCTCCACAGGCACAAAGGCCACACGCCTGTCCATGGTGGTTGCGTGCCACTGCCTCCCGCACCCCCAGGACGACTCCTGACAGCCCAGCCCTGTACCTCAAGATGAATTCTGACACCCCAGTTTGGCCAGATGGTAGATACTGGGGTGAGCCTTGTGAAGGGGGCAGGCCAGGGTTGGCTCCCTGCCCCCCTGAGGAGGGGCTCCGAAGGGCTCCATTGTTCCTGCAGCCCCATCCTGGCAGGGCCAACTGGACTCAGAGCAAGTCTGACCACGGTGTCTGCCCCCAGCATCAGCGCCCACACCAGAGTCCCCAATTCTTCCACTTGTGCCGCCCACTCGCAGCTGGACCGGTCCACAGGCCAGGCAGTTCTCTGCCGCCCACCTCTGGATCTCTCCACTGAAGAAAGGCTGGTCCAGGGAGGCCTCGGTGCCAGAAAAGGGGGCGGGGGGCAGGGCGCCCCGATTACGTCCCCAGCCCCTCTGATGTGGCAGTGTGACCAGAGCCCACCGGAGAACCTGCCCTTGGCCCAGCCTGAACGCGCCCAGGGGCCCCAGGGTCCATGGCCGCACTGAGTCCTGCCATTCGGCGTCGTTACCCTGCTGGCCATCACCTTCTTGCTGCTCTGGCCCCGTCTGGACCTGGCCTAGGGTTTGGTGCTGGCCGCACCCCTGTGCCGGGCCAGCCTGAAGGCGCCTCTTCACCCCAATCCCTCCCCAAGCGCATCCCCACCCCCCAGTCTCCGTCTGTGCATGAGGGATGGGGGTCCCCAGCGTGAGCCGCGCCTGTGCTCTAGGGTGGGGGCCTGGCCAGCTGACAAGAGCAACCCTTGACTTTGCCAGAGTGTGTGGGCACACGCAGGTGGGGGTACACGCGGGGCCTGAGAAGTGGGGGGACGGGCCCCTGGGGCAGGGGCAGGTGGCAGGGTCCCCAGGGACGGTCTTGGCGCCGACTGTGCAGATGTCTCGCTGGCCGCACCATCTGCCGGGAAGGGACCCTGACCAGTCCATCATCAGCACGGGGACCCTGACTCTCCTCCCTACTGGCCAGGCCCCTCCCATTTCGCGGTGGGGTGTGGTGAGACAGGGAGGCCCCTGAGGGGTGCTGGTTCAGAGGTAGCCCCTGGAACTGCACTGTGGAGTGGGGTGTGGACCCCAGAGCCTTCATGCAGCTACCTGAGGCTGGGAATGAGGCCGCTGACCCCACCCCAGCAGAACCCATTACCCTGCCCCCAAACTGAAGGCCCCTACTGCGTGGACAATCTCCAGCTGGGTCCCCTCCACAGCACGGGTCTCTGAGACCCGAAGCCGCCCCATGCCCAGCTGGGTTCTGCCTCAGTTTCCCTTGGGACCAGGCCCATGCTCGGGTGGAGCCCTACATCTCTCCAAAAGGGCCTTCAGGAGCAGAGTAAAGCCCGGTTTTGGGGTGCTGCCCCTGGCCCCAGAGGCAGGCGGGTAGGAGGGTGCACCTCGCTACCCGCAGGGCTTCATCAGAGCCGGGCATCGGGCAGGGCTGAGCTGAGGGGTGACAAGCCTGGGAATCCGAGCCACAAGGCAGAAATGGGGGCAGGGGCTGGATTCAAGCAGATGGGTCCCAGCTGCACCTCTTCCTCCCGCCGCGGGCTGCTGTCTTGGGATCGCCCCACCACAGCACCCCAGTTGGGCAGCCCTTGCCAGAGTGTGCCCAGGAGAGATTGGAGCCCCTCACCCCCAGCCCCGCCTGCCTGAGGGCCTGGGAGGGGGGCCCGCTCCCGGCCCCCGCGTGTGGCACGGCCCCAGGAGCAGTGAAGGGCTGGCTGCCAGCCGGGGACTCTGCTGGGTGGTCCTCCACGGACTGCGTGGCTCGGCCGCCCCCTCCAGACCCCTCCCGCCGGCGCATTCCTGGCTCCCGCCCCTCCCCCGCCGGCCCGCCAGTGTCTGAATCGGCCTCGGATTCCGGCTCCGCCGCCCCCTCCCCTCCCTCGGCGGCCGCCGGCCCCGCCCCCGGCTGGGTCCCCGCTCGCGCCCGGGGCCCCCCAGCCCTCCCGGCCCGCCTGCCGCCGGCGCCCACCGCCCTGCCTGGCCCTCGGTGGGTGAGTGCGCGAGCGCGGGGCGGACGCGGGGTCCTCGCGGCGGGGCGCGGGGAGGGGGGCGCCGCCTGTCAACGCGGGGACTCGCCGACTCCGCCGGTGGCCGCTCCCGCCCAGGGGCCGGCGGGGTGGGCAGACCGGCGGCCCGGGGCGTCTGGCGCCTGCGGGGGGCGCGCAGCGCGGGGTCCCGGCGGCTTCAGCCATGCCAGGCTGGCCCTGGTGGCTGCTGCTGGCGGCGGGCACCCTCTCGGCCGCGCTGGGCCCGGGCCCGCCGGTCCAGCCCGACCCGTGCCATGACGAGGACGGCGCCCCCCGCAGCTGCGTGCCCGGCCTGGTGAACGCCGCGCTGGGCCGCGAGGTGCGGGCGTCCAGCACGTGTGGCCGGCCAGCCTCGCGGACCTGCGATGCCTCCGACCCGCGGCGGGCACACCCTGCCGCCCTCCTAACCTCCGCGGGTGCTTCCCCCGGGCCACAGTGCTGGCGCTCCGAGGCGCTCACGCAGTCACCCCTCAACGTGACCCTGACGGTGCCGCTGGGCAAGGCCTTCGAGCTGGTGTTCGTCAGTGTGCGCTTCTGTTCCGCGCCGCCCGCAGCCGTGGCCCTGCTCAAGTCACAGGACCACGGACGCAGCTGGGCCCCGCTGGGATTCTTCTCGGCTCGCTGCGGCCCCGACTTCGGTCGCCCTCCGGCCCCGGCCCATGGCCCGCTTGGGCCAGGACCCGAAGCCCTGTGCTTCCCAGCGCCCCAGGCCCTGCCCGGAGGGGGTGGCCTGCTGGCCTTCAGCATGCAGGACGGCAGCCCGCCAGGCCTGGACCTGGACAGCAGTCCGGTGCTCCAGGATTGGGTGACAGCCACCGACATCCAGGTGGTGCTCACCAGGCCCGCCACCACAGGGGACACATGGGACTCGGCGGCCAGCAGCACCTACTCCTACTCTGCCGCGGAGCTCCAGGTGGGCGGGCGCTGCAAGTGCAACGGGCACGCGGCGCGGTGCCGCCCGGACCCACAGGGCCATCTGCTGTGTGACTGCCAGCACGGCACAGAAGGCCCTGACTGCAGCCGCTGCAAGCCCTTCTACTGTGACCGGCCGTGGCAGCGTGCCACGGCCCGGGAGGCGCACGCTTGCCTGGGTGAGACTTGGCACGAGACCTGGGGAGCTGGGGGACGCTGGCCGACCCTGACCCCTGCATCCCTCTGCAGCTTGCTCCTGCAATGGCCACGCCCGCCGCTGCCGCTTCAACATGGAGCTGTTCCGCCTCTCTGGCCGCCGCAGCGGGGGTGTCTGCCTCAACTGTCGCCACAACACTGCCGGCCGCCACTGCCACTACTGCCGGGAGGGCTTCTACCGAGACCCCGGCCGGGCCCTGAGTGACCGGCGCGCCTGCCGCGGTGAGCCTGCACCCTCCGCCTGCCCTCTGATACCCCAGCCCCTGGTGGTCCTGACCCGCCTGTCTCCCTCTGCCCTCAGCCTGTGACTGTCACCCTGTCGGTGCCGCGGGCAAAACCTGCAACCAGACCACAGGCCAGTGTCCCTGCAAGGACGGTGTGGCCGGCCTCACATGTGACCGCTGTGCCCCTGGCTTCCAGCAGAGCCGCTCCCCCGTGGCGCCCTGTGTCAGTGAGTGTTCCCTCTGCCAGCCCCCGCAGCTCCCCACTGCCTGCGCCCTCACAAACGCGGCCGTACCCCTCCTCTCTACAGAGACCCCGGACCCGAAGCCCACGGAAGAGAGTGGCCCCACGAAGCCCCAGGGTAAGTGCTCCGTCCCGCAGAGGGGCGGGTGGGAGGGGGAGGGTGGAACTCAGCGTGCCCTGCCCCCGCAGACTGCACTTCGCACTGCCAGCCTGCACGTGGCAGCTACCGCATCAGCCTGAAGAAGTTCTGCAGGAAAGACTACGGTAGGCCAGCCGCGCCCCTGCCCGACAGTCAGTCACGGTCCTGGTCTCTGGGCCCACCCTCCTGACCCCGCCTCTTCCCTCCGTGCAGCGGTGCAGGTGGCGGTGGGCGCGGCAGGCGAGGCGCGCGGCGCGTGGACGCGCTTCCCGGTGGCCGTACTCGCCGTGTTCCGGAGCGGCGAGGAGCGCGCGCGGCGCGGAAGCAGCGCGCTGTGGGTGCCGGCGCGGGACGCGGCCTGCGGTTGCCCGCGCCTGCTGCCCGGGCGCCGCTATCTCCTGCTGGGGGGCGGGCCGGGCGCCGGGGCGCCGGGGGCCCGGGGGCCCGGACTCAGCGCCACCCGCGGGAGCCTCGTGCTGCCGTGGCGGGACGCCTGGACGCGGCGCCTGCGGAGGCTGCAGCGGCGCGAGCGGCGGGGACGCTGCGAGGCAGCCTAGCTCGTGGGGTGGCCCCGCCCGCGCCTCCGCCGCTGGACGTGACGGCGTCTCCTCGGAGCTGCCCGGAGCCCCGTTCCGCCTCCGCGGACGACGGCCCGTCCCCAGGGGCCCCCGGCAGCCCCGAAGGCCGTGAACACCTCCAGGGGCCGCGGACTTGGGGGGTTCTGTGTGCAGCAGCCCGCCTTGCCCCCCTCCCCCAGACCGCGCCCCCTTCCTAAGGCCCCCGAGGCGACGCCGGGAGTCCCAGAAACCGCGGTGCCCCTGCCGCATAAGCGCCGCCGCTGCCCGTGCCGCTGTCCCGCCGCCGGGCACCCGCGCGCAGGTCCGGCCCTGAAGACCCCAGCCCCGTCCTGGCGCCGCGTCTCCGCGTGCTCGGGCCAGGCGTCGTGCCGCCCGAACGCGCGCTGCCATGGCTCACGTGCCACCCATGGGTTGGCGACCCCCGCGGGCGGCCCTTCGGGACCCCGATCCCCCTGGCCCAAGCCTCGGGCGCGGGTCCCCGCGGGTGGGCGCCCGCAGCGCCGGGCCCGCGCATGCTTCCCCGGCCGGCCGCGGGGCGCGGCGCGCATGCGCGGGGCGGTGGCTGCGGGCCCGGGCCGGGGGGGGGGGATGAGGGCGGGGAGGGAGGACGCGCGTGCGCACTGGGGCCCCGCTCAGTCGCGCGGCGAGCGGAGGCAAGAGCGACTGCGGGCGGAGGTGGGTGCGCGGCCGGCGGGCCGGCGGCGGGCGGGGGGCGTGGCGGCGGGCGGGGGGCCGCGGGCCGGGGCGACGGCGGGCGCCGCGCGGGGGCGCGAGCGGGAGAGCGGGCGGGGGTCCCGTGCCGTCCGATCGGCGCTGCCCCGCAGGAGCGGCGGGCGCAGACCCCCGCCCCGCCGGACACCCCCCGGCCCGCCGCGGTCCGCGCGCCGCCGGCCCCGGGCGCGGTGTGGCCGGAACGCGCCGGTCCCGGGGCTCGCCTCTTCGGGACGGGAGCTGCAGCGAGTCCCCGCTCGCGTCCTGCGGCGGACACCTGCCGCCCGGGCACCCTCACAGCCCCGTGCCCCCCCCCACGGCTGCCAGGCGCCCCGCGGAGGCCGCGGGTGGCCCATCGCTGACCGTCCAGCCCTCCTTTGGCTCCGGCTGGGCTGTCATCAACGACCGGGGATTGTCTGGGCAGCACCTGGCCGCGCCCTGCAGGAGCCGGGGATGCTGGCGGCGCTCCGGTCCTCCGCGGACCCCCGCCCGGGCCGGGCGCCTCTTTCGCTGGAAGAAGGTGGTGCTCGCCCTGGTCCCAGTCTCCCCCCACCCCCGCCACAGGGACTGCTTGCTGGGCACGACCGTCCTTTGCGGGGGCCGGGCGTGGGGCCACTCGCTGTGCCCAGCACCCTGAACGTTAGCCGCTCCCTAAGGAGCAGCAGGTTCTTTGCGTCCAAAGGGACACGGCTGAGAGGAGGAGCCAGATAAGAGCGGGTGAAGGAAGGGCTTTGGGTTATCCAGCCGCCCCTGCGGGCCCCACCCGGGCCCTGTAAGCTGCTCAGCTTCACAGCCGGTGCTGAGCGCAGGCGCCTGTCCCTGGGAGTGGTGGGTGCCTCTTTGTGCCAGTGTGCCACGGTGCTGGCAGTAGGCTGGTGTTTGCATCCGGGTCAGGGGTGACCTTCTGGGATGGACTGAGTCGTCCAGCCGGGTCCGAATGGTAACTAACTCCCCTCTCCCCCCCCCTCCAGGCACTGGCCGGGCTTGTGACCTTGCCTGCGTGTGTGCATGTGTGCGTGCGTGCGTGCGTGTGTGTGTGTGCGTTCCTGATTCTCATCCCAACCAGGGCCAGTTTCCAAAGACACGTTAGAAATGTTTGCTCTGGGCTGGTTTCAGGCGAGAGACCGAGCGAGGAGGTCAGACCAGGCACAGCCTTGAGCCCGCACCGAGGTGGCCCCTCCACGCGCCTCTGTTGTGACAACTGCGCCCCCAGGGGAGGCAGCGCTCTGGGGGCTGTTTGGAGGGTCACTTTCCCAGCGGCTAACAGCAGAAAGAGCACGCCCGGTGTCGTGCCCTCTGGGCCCTTATCAGCGGCCTGATCGCAGTCCAGCGAGTTCACGGAGTCCGTCCTGCCCACGGGGCGGCTCTGAGGGTGTAGGGGCGGGGGCAGGCTGAGGGCCCTGAGGACCGTGGGGCGCCTGAATGTGTGGAGGGAAGGGGGACCCCTGAGGGGCTGGGGTGAGGGCAGCCTGGCCAAGGAGGGCTCTAGGTGGGTGACCGCACAGGGGTGGGGAGGCTGCAGGAGGGGCCTGCGTGTGGGGTGTAGGGTCACGGGTGCTGGGGGTACCCTCTGGAACATTCTGTGCTCAAGTCCCTGGAGGCCAGGGAAGGGGTGACCTTCCCAGGGACCGGAGAGACAGGCCTGCACGTCAGGACGGCGAGGGTTTAGTCGCTGTTCCCGGTGCGGCGTGAGTCCAGGGCCCCTGGGAGACTACAGGCCTTGCCAGGCCAAGGCTGCCCAGCACTGCTCGGAGGAGGCCTTGGGCTGCTTTCCCTGCCCTGAGACCAGTTCCCAACAGCTGTACTGAGGACACGGCGCAGCGGGAGTGCCCAGCTCCTGCACCCGCAGTCCGGCACCATGGACCCCACTGCCTTTCCTGGAGCCCGCTCACTGCCTCAGTCGCCTCCATCACTCCTCGCCAGGAAGGTCCGTCACTGTTCTGTCCCTTCAGAGCTGGCCCAAGGGTGCCCTCCTGCCTGTGGCATGTGTCTCCCGGTGCCTCAGAGCCCCACTGTCCAGCCCTGTCCCCAGGACAGCGATGACCTGCAGGACGGTGCCTTGCTGCTGGCCCTCTCCTTGGACCCATCCAGAGCCGGGCACCCTGCAACTCGGGAGAAGGCCTCAGTACCTGCAAGGCCCCGTGCTACAGCCAGGGGGCCTCCCTGCCGGAAATGCAGCCCCCCAAATGCCAGGCATGTCCCTGTGGGCTGGGACCGGGGAGTCCCACTGGCTCCACGCCGGTCACTGTTCAGAATTAAACCTTCCTCAACCCAGTCCTGGGGCCTCCGAGTACCCGTGTCTCCTTCTGTGCCTCCAGCTGAGCAGCTGCACAGGGACTGCGGGTATGTCCGGGAGGTCCCTGTTAGCCTGATCCTCTGGGGCAGCCCGTGGGCAGAGGCCACGCGTGTGTGTGTGTGTGTGTGTGCACGGATGTGCTTGTCTGTGCATGTGTGTGCTTGCATGCATACGTATGTGCATATGTATATGCGCATTGTATGCTTGCAGTGCATGTGTGTATGTTTGCCCTCAAATGTACATGTATGTTTGCCATGCGTGTGTGTGTGATTGCAATGCATGTGTATGTACACATATGTGTACATATGTGCTTACATTGTATGTAGATTCACATGTGCATTGTGTGCTTGCATTTGTGTATATGTATGTGTACACGTGTGCTTGCAGTACATTGTATATATGCATGTATGTATGTTTGCAGTGCTTGTGTGTATGTGTGTATAAATGCATGTATGTGTGTATGTACTTGCAGTACGTGTGTGCATATGCGTATGTGCATGGTGTGCTTGCATGCGTGTATGTGTGTGCTTGCAGTGTGTGCATATGTGTGCTTGCAGTGTTTGTTCATATATGTGCATACGTGTATGCTTATAGTGCATGTGCATCTGTGTGCTTGCTGTGTGTGCATGTGCGTGTGTTCTTCTAGTGCATGTGCGTATGTGTGTGCTTGCCATGTGTGCATGTGTGTATGTTCTTGCACGTGTGCTTGCAGTGCGTGTATGTGCACGTGTGTGCGCGTGTTGACGGAGCAGCCTGGGCGGAGAGTGGAACAGGAGGCGACGCAGATGCGCAGGCCTGGTGTGAGGATTCCAGTCAAAACAAGGGCGTGCTCAGAGGAGAGCCCATGCCCAGGGGTGCCCAGGGAGGGGGCCGGGACAGTGAGTGAGGGTCGGTGCCAGGCTGGGACGGGGGCAATGGAAGCTCTCTGTTTCTGGAACCCTCCTGAGCCTGAGCCGCCCCCGCCCTGCTGTGTGGGTTTGGAGAAGAAAGGGGCTCCTGGGGGTGTTGCTGGGCCGTTGGGCCCCAGAGGTGAGGCCACGGCTAGCGGTGCCAGGAGTGATTAGCCTGAGGCACTCTGTGTGGGGTCAGTGAGAGGGCTTAGACGTGTTCAGCTGGTGGGGAAAGGTGACGTCACCCCTCGGCACCTCCTGGGCCTGGCTACCTCCCCTCAGCACTGTCTCTGTGTCAATCTCTCTCCTCTCAGAGCTGTCCCTGGGCCCTCTGTCCCCTCAGCACTGTCCCTGTGTCCGTCTCCTCAGCACTTTCCCCGTGTCCTCTATCCCCTCAGTACTGTCCCTGGGTGTCCGTCTGCCCCCTCAGCAATGTCCCTGGGTCCTCTGTCCCCTCAGCACTGTCCCTATATCTTCTGTCCCCTCAGTACTGTCCCTGGGTCTGTCTGTTCCCTCAGCACTGTCCCTGGGTCCTCTGTCCCCTCAGCTGTCCCTGGGTCCTCTGTCACCTCAGCACTGTCCCTGGATTCGTCTGTCCCCATAACACTGTCTCTGGGTCCTGTCCCCTCAGCACTGTCCCTGGCCTGTGAGGCGTCACTCTCCTGCAGCCTGCTTCCTCTCGCTCCGGCGGATGTGGGTGCTCACAGCTCTGACTGTGACTCAGGCCCAGCGTGTCTGACTCAGCTGTTCTTCAGTTCCCGTGGCCCAGGCATGCAGCGGGGTCCGGCTCCTGGCACGGACCCTCTGCTGCCCTCAGGAAGAGGGCGGCTTGTGCCTGATGACCTCCAGGCAGTGCGGGCCTGCGGGCTGTGCAGGGCTTCGTGCCTCCCCGTCCCTGCCCCCCCACCCCCTGGGCTGCCTCTCTGGAGGGAGGCGCAGGCACTCCTGGCCCCGCAGACTGAAGTGCTTGTCCTGTCCCACATTTGGGGTGCCCGGCCCCATCTTCTGCCTGATCCCCTTGGGGGACCAGTATTTGATATGACCCCAAGCCAAGGGACTTCCAGGGACTGCGGGGCAGAAGTTCAAGTTCAATGTGCGCCGTCCCCCCACCCCCCAGCTGCCTCACTGCCTCGTGCTTGTGAGGGTGCCTCGGGGCCTGGCTGCAGAGTCACCCCGAGGGCTGGTTAGAGGCATGCTTGGCAGGCTGGGATGCCCTCTCCCCCTGCACCCCCCATGGCGGGGTTTCAGGTTCCCGGGGGTCCTGTCCCGAGAGGGTGAGAGCATCCTCAGGGCTGCGGGGTCCCTCGCACCTGGTGAGACCAGGACAGGGCCGGGCAGCATTTGCAAACCACAGGGCCAGCACAAGGAGCTGGACGGGCCCCCCAGGCTCATGGCACAGACTTCCTTCCCATGGGGTGCGGCCGGGAGTCTGAGCTATCTCGCAATAACGGGTTAGCCCTTTGGGGGTTGGGGCCTCACCCGGCCATGCTCAGGACTCACTCCTGGCAGAGCTCCGGGGACCGTAATGGGGTGCCAGGGTTTGAACCCTGGTCGGTTGCATGCAGAGCAAGTGCCCTCACGGCCGAACTCTCCCCAACCGCTGCATGCGCGCCACTGAACTGTGCCTCTGAATGGGACGAGGGGCTGGCCGTGGGCTTTGCAGGAGGGAGACCTGTGTCACCCCAGCACTACCGGCAAAGGTCAACAGAAAGGGGCCAGAGCAAAGGTCAACAGAAAGGGACCAGAGCGACAGTGCAGTGGGCAGGGCGCTTACCTTGTGTGCGACCAACACAGGTTCAAGCCCTGTCACCTCCATCTGTCCTTCGAGCTGTGCCAGGAGCAATCCCTGAGTAGAGTCAAGAGCCAGGAGTAAGCCCTGAGCACTGCTGGGTGTGGCCCCCAAGCAAAACTAAAACTAAATAAAAGGTTAATTTAAAAAAAAAGGGAAAAGGCGAAAAACTTCGGTGCACTGGAGAGGGCCGTTCCGGGTGCCTCCTCACGGCCCCTGCTCTGCCCCCCTCCCCCCGTGCCAGAGCCCTGCTGGGCTGTGCCCCTGCCCCCAGCGAAGCTCTGGCCTCAGCAGCCCTCCCCGCCGTGTGGACCCAGTGCTGCAGCCCCAGCAGGGGGTTTCCCCCTGGTTTCCCCTGGTCTGTCATGATGGAAATAGCGTCTGCTTCCATGGCTGCTCCCGTGCCCAGCTTGGCACTGGCATGGTGGATTTCCACTCTGGCATCTGGGGTATTTGGGGGTGGAACTCCCAGTAGCACTTGGGGCCAGCCAGGGGATGCCAGGGCGGGAACCCAGGGCCTCACACGTTTAGGGCTGCATGAGTTAAGTCACATCTCTACCATGCAAAATTGGAGTTTTTGATTGTATCAGGGACACACCCAGCTGCGCTTGGCGTTTGTTCTGGCAGAGCTCGGGCCCATATGCGCTGGGAATCAAACCCAGGGCTCTCACATGCTAAGCCTGCACTCTGCCCTTTGGGCTCCCCCGGCCTACCCAGGAGTTATTAACATTATGTTTTGTATTTTCAGGCGGAGGTTTCAACGCAGAAGTTGGAATGAGCCGGAGTCTACAAAAACCTGCTGAAGTGATCCCCTGACGCGCTGCAGCTGCCGTGCACCGCAGGGAGCTGTGTGAGGTGTGCAGTGAGAGGAATGTGAATCTCAGGTGTGGGCATGTGAGAGGAACTGAGCATTTCTGAGGTGTGTGTGAAATTGTGAGTCTGGTATGCATGTGAGAGGAGTGGTGAGTCCCTGAGGCGTGCGTGAAAGGTATAGTGAGTCTCTGAGGCGTGAGTGAGAGGAATGGTGAGTTCCTGAAGCGCGTGTCAGAGGAATGGTGAGTCCCTGAGGCGTGTGTGAGAGGAATGGTGAGTCCCTGAGACATGCGTGAGAGGAGTGGTGAGTCCCTGAGGCGTGTGTGAGAGGAATGGTGTAGTCCCTGAGGCGTGTGTGAGAGGAGTGGTGAGTCCCTGAGGCGTGTGTGAGAGGAATGGTGTAGTCCCTGAGGCATGTGTGAGAGGAGTGGTGAGTCCCTGAGGCGTGCGTAAAAGGTATATTGAGTCTCTGAGGCATGAGTGAGAGGAATGGTGAGTTCCTGAATTGCGTGTCAGAGGAATGGTGAGTCCCTGAGGCGTGTGTGAGAGGAATGGTGAGTCCCTGAGACATGCGTGAGAGGAGTGGTGAGTCCCTGAGGCGTGTGTGAGAGGAATGGTGTAGTCCCTGAGGCGTGTGTGAGAGGAGTGGTGAGTCCCTGAGGCGTGTGTGAGAGGAATGGTGAGTCCCTAATGGGTGTGTGTGTGTGTGTGTGTGTGTGAGAGGAGTGGTGAGTCCCTGAGGCATGCGTGAGAAGAGTGGTAAGTCCCTGAGACGTATGCATGAGAGGAGTGGTGAGTCCCTGAGGTGTTAGTGAGAGGAATAGTGAGTCCCTGAGGTGTTAGTGAGAGGAATAGTGAGTCTCTGAGGTGTGTGCGTGAGAGGAATTGTGAGTCCCTGAGGGGTGCATGTGAGAGGAATGGTGAGTCCCTGAGGCATGCGTGAGTAGAATGATGAGTCCCTGAGGTGTGTGCGTGAGAGGAATAGTGAGTCCCTGAGGTGTTAGTGAGAGGAATAGTGAGTCTCTGAGGTTTGTGTGTGAGAGGAATTGTACTTCTCTAGTCAGTGCTTGACCTGGTATCATGAGTGGAAGCATCTATCCCCCATTTGGGTAATGTGGCCCTGACGGCTCTAGACTGGCTATTTCTTCTATGTGCCCAAAGCTTCCTGCTTACTTGCTCATAGTGGGGAGACAGTGACACCCCCTAATTTCATTCCAGCGAGGCCCCACCAAATCTGATTATGAGGTGCAACACCACCATTTCTTTTATTATTCTTTTTTGTCACTGGGGGCCACACGTGGAAGTGTTCACGGCCTGCTCCTGATGGGGCTCAGGGGACCCTGTGTAATGCCAGAAATTGGTCTCAGGTTGTCCTCAGGCAAGGTAAGCGCCTTATCCCCTGTACTGTCTCTCCGACCCCTACCCTTTTACTTTTCAGCGTGCATGCCCTCTGTCCCTCTCCGAGGGGCCTACAGAAACTTAGCTGGCTCTAGCCCCTGATTTCCAGCTGGTGTGCGGGTCAAGGCCTTAGAGAATCAAACAGCTACGTGTGGGTAGTCAGGAGACCTGCCCCGCTATCTGACAGTTGTTTCTGCACTGTCAGCCTCGTGTAGGCTGCATCTTCGCCTGACGTTGTTCCTGCACTGTTCGGGCATCTCCCGTCCCTTCCCAAGCCCCATGGAAGGACGTTGGCATTGTAGTGAACTTCGGGACATCCATCCGCTCAGCCTTCAGACTTTATAAAGGAAGAAGGGCTGGAGAGATGGTCCAGCTTCAATCTCCATCCTTCCATAGGTCCCCCAAACCCTGCCAGGAGTGATCTCTGAGTACAGAGGCTGGAGTAAGCCCTTAGCACTGCCGGGTGTGGCCCCTGAGCAAAAATGAAACAGGCTACGTGGGAAGATTAAGAGAAAATCTGTACTCAGGGGTTGGAGAGACAGTACAGTGGCGAGCGCTTCCTTTGCATGAAGCTGACTCGGGTTCGATTGCCGGCATCCCGTATGGTCCCCCGAGCCCTGCCAGGAGAGTGCAGAGCCAGGAGTAGTCCCAAACCCCAAAATAATTTTTTTTTAAAAAGGGAAAATCTGTCCTGTAGAATATGACATTCAGGGACCCAGAGTGGTCGTACAGCGGGGAGGGTGTTTCCCTCGCACGCGGCTGACCTGAGTTCAATCCCTGGCATCCGGATGGTTTCGCTGCCAGGAGTAATTCCGGAGTGCAGAGCCAGGAGTCACCCCTGAGCATGCTCAAGCCACACGTTCAGCGCGTGCCTGTCTCCCATGCAGATGGCGGAGCAGCCCGCAGAACAGCCCCAGAGAGGGCTCGGGGGAGTCTAGCCGCTCCTGCCCAGCCGCCCCGCACCATGGAGCCCCCTGCATACAGCTGCTTTGTGGACCGGGAGAAGATGGAAGCGGCCGTGCAGGACCTGGGGCCGCGGGAGCTGAGCTGCCTGGAGCTGCAGGAGCTGAAGCAGCTGGCGCGCCAGGGCTACTGGGCGCACAGCTACGGCCTGCGAGGCCGCGTGTACCAGCGCCTCATCCGGGATATCCCCTGCCGCACCGTCACGCCCGATGCCAGCGTGTACAGCGACATCGTGGGCAAGATCGTGGGCCAGCACAGCGCCGGCAGCCTGCCCCTGCCCGAGTTCGTGGACAACACGCAGGTGCCCAGCTACTGCCTGAACGCGCAGGGCGAGGGTGCCGTCCGCAAGATCCTGCTGTGCATCGCCAACCAGTTCCCCGACATCTCCTTCTGCCCCGCGCTGCCTGCCGTGGTGGCACTGCTGCTGCACTACAGCGCCGATGAGGCCCAGTGCTTCGAGATGGCCTGCCGCATCCTGGCTTGCAACGACCCGGGCCGCCGGCTCATCGACCAGAGCTTCCTGGCCTTCGAGTCCTCCTGCATGACCTTCGGGGACCTGGTGAATAAGTACTGCCAGGCAGCGCACAAGCTGATGGTGGCCGTGTCCGAGGACGTGCTGCAGGTGTACGCCGACTGGCAGCGCTGGCTCTTCGGGGAGCTGCCACTCGGCTACTTCGCCCGTGTCTTCGACGTGTTCCTGGTGGAGGGCTACAAGGTCCTGTACCGCGTGGCCCTTGCCCTCCTCAAGTTCTTCCACAAGGTGCAATCGGGCCAGCCCCCGGGGCCGGACAACGTGCGGCAGGACATCCGTGCCTTCGTCAGGGACATTGCCAGGACCGTGTCCCCCGAGAAGCTGCTGGAGAAGGCCTTCGCCATCCGCCTCTTCTCAAGGAAGGAGATCCAGCTGCTGCAGATGGCCAACGAGAAGGCGCTCAAGCAGAAGGGCATCACCGTCAAGCAGAAGAGGTGGGTGGCGGGAGGGCGCTCCCCCTGTACGTGGCTGACCTGGGTTCTGTCCCTGAGCATTGCCTGGAGTGATTCCTGAGTGCAGAGTCGAGTGTAACCCCTGAACATTGCCAGGTGTGGCCCAAAATTAAAAAAAAAAAAAGTGGGCGGGCAGGCAAGGAACCAATGCAGGGCAGGACGCCAGCACCCCATGAAGGCTCTGAGCATGTGGGACGTCTCCCTGGGCCTGGGCCCCACTAACCTGCCCATCTGTTTTCTTCCTCTCTCTGCCCCTTGCTTCCTTCTGCTCTCAGTGTCTCGCTTTCTAGAAGGTAGGTCACCCCTCTGCTCCTAGAGCCCTTGCTGCTGCCTTTCCGTCTGTCTGTCTGTCCTGTGAGAGGCCCCAGGACCCCTCCTGTCCCCCAGGCCAGCTCCCAGGAGGCAGTGCGCCCCTGTGACAGTGTTGCTGACCCATTCTCCACCCCCCCCAGGCAGTTCGTGCATTTGGCCGTCCATGCGGACAACTTCCACTCAGAGATCGTCAGCGTGAAAGAGATGAGGGACATCTGGTCGTGGGTCCCTGAGCGCTTTGCTCTGTGCCAGCCTCTGCTGCTCTTCTCCTCTCTGCAACACGGCTATAGCCTGGCCAGGTGAGGGGGGGCTCACCCTCTGCCCAGAACACCTGAGGTCTGCCTGGGTCCTTTCCCCTGCCAGAGACCCCCAGGCATGGAGGAGGCCCCTCCTCCTAAGACTTGAGCTCTCTGGTCCCTGCCCCAGCACCCCCTGCCAGGGCCCCGCTGATGGCAGGTGATGCAGAAGCTCTGGCTGGGTCCAGGTGACCTGGCAGGGCCGGGACAAGCATTGCTGTCAGACAGATGGACGGACAGACGGACGGATGGGTGAACACATGGACAGACAGGTGAATGGACTGGCAGGTGGGTGCACGGGCACAGCCAGAGCTATATTCACTGTTCATCACTGCCAGCTGGCTCTGAGCGGGCCCCACATTCCTGAGTGGACCCAAGACTCCCCTCCCATGGTCTGGCTTCCCCGAAGCTCCTGGGTGCTGCGTCCAGGTCTCCTGGCCAGGTGCCCAGGACACCGCCAGTACAGGGGACACGGTAGACTGTGTGCTCTGCCCTAGGTTCTACTTCCAGTGCGAAGGGCACGAACCCACTGTGCTGCTCGTCAAGACCACGCAGAAGGAGGTGAGCATCCCCCCCAGCTTCGGGCCCCACAGAAACGCCTCTTCTCAGCCCCTGAGATCTCTTTTTTTTTTCTTTTGCTTTTTGGGTCACACCCGGCGACGCTCAGGGGTTACTCCTGGCTTTGCACTCAGGAATCACTCCTGGCGGTGCTCGGGAGACCATATGGGATGCTGGGAATCGAACTTGGGTCGGCCACGTACAAGGCAAACGCCCTACCCGCTGTGCTATTGCTCCAGCCCCAGCTCCTGAGATCTCTAAGCATGCTCAGGGATCCCCTTTCAGGACCCCGGAGTGACCCCAGGGCAGTTTAGGCCGGATGTAGGCATCAGCCCCGAGGGCTGTGTGGGGCGACTCATTCCCACACAGGCTCCTCACGACCCCTGTCTTCCCCAGGTGTGTGGCGCTTACCTGTCCACAGACTGGGGGGAGCGCAACAAGTTTGGGGGCAAGCTTGGCTTCTTCGGCACAGGCGAGTGCTTCGTGTTCAGGGTGAGTGCCCCCCTCCCCCGCCCACCCCCGGCCCTGCCTGGCCTGTGTGCAGCTTCACTGACCCCATTTGTCTGCAGCTGCAGCCCGAGGTCCAGCGCTACGAGTGGGTGGTCATTAAGCACCCGGAGCTGACCCGGCCCGTGGCCCTGGAGGCCTGCGCTGACCCTGCCCCGCTGCAGCCCTCGGGGTCCACCGACCTCAGCGAGCGCCTCTCGCCCTTCCTGGCCGCTCGCCACTTCAACCTGCCCTCCAAGACCGAGTCCATGTTCATGGCCGGGGACAGCCAGTGCCTCATCATTGGTGAGGATGGTCAGCCACTCCCGGTGGGCATGGGCGGAAGGAGGGGGGCCAGGCAGTGCTGGGGCCACTGACCTGTGTCTCTCGCAGGAGGCGGCGGTGGCCAGGCCCTCTACATTGATGGGGACCTGAACCGCGGCCGCACCGGACACTGCGACACCTTCAACAATCAGCCGCTCTGCACCGAGAACTTCCTCGTGGCCGCCGTGGAGGCCTGGGGCTTCCAGGACCCTGACACACAGTGACCGGGACCCCTCCTGAGGGAGAGGAAGTGGGGGACCGCCATGTGCGTAGGCATTCAGGACAGTGAGGGTCGTGTTGGCAGGCAGGGGGACCTCAGGACCGGCCCCCTGCTTGGCTGCGCCCCTGAGCCTGGCCCAGGGTGGAGTGGACCAAGCCCTGGCGCGCTCACTGCGCCCCCTGCTGGTGCCCGGTGGCGGCAGCTCCAACCCCAGGGAAAGGGTCCCCAGACTGGAGGGGGCCAGAGGACACGGGACACCCCCTTTCTTTCTTTTGCACCTGTGCCTCTGGCTCAGGGACCCCGGCGGAAGCTCGTGACGGGCTTGATCCCCTGAACCCCCTGCCACTGCCTGTCACACCCGCCCCCCAGCATGGAGGGGAGCTGGGCAGTCACTGCCAGGAGCCCTGCCCCCACCCAGCGAGCCCAGCAGGACAGCCCAGCAGCCCGGTGGACTTGGACACGCCAGCGAGCCCGTCTGGGACTTGGTTTTCCCAGCTGTGAACTAGGACCAGTCACCCTGCCCCACTATTCCCTGCGACTGTTGAGAGGCCCGAGGGGCCGGGCCCGGAGGCAGCAGGGCTGCCCCGAGCCCACTGCCCTCCCCTGCCCTGCGCTCAGTGTCATTAAACAGTCTGATCACCTGGGCTGCAGGCCTCTCTCTCAACCAGCATGGGCCACACGGCAGGAAAATGGGTTTCAGCGCCTCTGGGGAAGGCCGGGTCACCTCCCTGCTCCCCGGAAACCAGCCCAGGGAGCACTGGCAGCTGAGTCACGACTGCCCCGTCACACGCTCGAGGCTCATAACCAGCATCTTCGCTTTACTCCCAACTTCCTTTCTCATGCTTTCCCACTCACTTCAGTCACATGTCATTGAAAATATTCCAATTCTGATTGTCTGCTGTTGGATTTCCCCTCAAGTAGAACGTAGTTTCTTTAATGTTCTTTATTCTTTTTTTGTCATTATCTCTTGCAGTTAAAAAAAAGGCCAGTTTTTATAGAATCTCACTATTTAAAAAAAATATTTAAACATATGGGGCTGGAGCGATAGCACAGTGGGTAGGGCGTTTGCCTTGCACACGGCTGACCAGGGTTTGATTCCCAGCATCCCATATGGTCCCCTGAGCACTGCCAGGAGTGCACGAGCCAGGAGTAACCCCTGTGCATCGCCAGGTGTGACCCAAAAAGAAAAAAAGAATTTAAACATATATTTGGACTGCAAGGAGGGGGTGTGAGGTATCTGTCAGGGGGATCTGGAGAGAGGACAGCAGGGAGGGTGCTGACCTTGCATGTGGGTGACCTGGGTTTGATCCTCGGCATCCTATAGAGTTCCCTGAGCCCCACCAGGAGTGACTGGGGTCACAGATCCAGGAGTCAGCCCAAACACTGCCAGCTGTGGCCCAGAACAAAAAAATACGTAAAATAAAGTGGGTGTGTGGATGTCTCAGTGACCTGAGGTCTGATCTGGATGTCTCAGGCTGCTTCCCTGATCCCTGCAGACCCCCTCCAAAGGCAACCTTGGGAGGCAGGAGTCCTGCCCTCAGAGCCTCCCTCGGCACAGGCCCAGGGACCCCCACGGAATAGCCTGAGGCCCTGAGCCTATCTGAGGGGCCCTGGCCCAGGAGCTGGGCCGAAAAGGGGAGCGATGAACAGCAGTGCTGGAGGGCTGTGCTGACTTGGGGTCACCTCATCCTGGAACCTGGGTCAGACCCAGATGATCAGCCCCAAGGGAAGTGCTTCCCCACGCCCCCGGCAGCCGCTCTCTGTTCTGTGCTGTGCCAGCACAGAACGCAGGATACCCCCAGGCCTGGCTCTGTCCTGAACGCTTCCAGGGGCTCTGAGGGGACAGGGCATGGAAAGGGGGACAGAGGCTGTAGGATTAGGGTGGGAGACAGCCTGATGAGGACCCGCGACCTTGGCAAGGTCAAGAACATGGGGCTTCAGAAAAGTGAGGGGCCAGTGTGTGTGTGTGTGTGTGTGTGTGTCTGTGTGTGTAGTTCACAGGCTAGGTCCTCTGCAAGCAGCAGACGCCCCCCACACTCACCAAGGGGTACAGGCAAGACCCCGCTGTGCCGCTGATTGTGGGGAGGCGGGAGAGGGAATGCAGTGCCCGGAGGACATGCACGGGAACCCGGGATGGGCCCAGAGGACCCGGCTCATGAAAGGCAGAAGACCTTGGACAGAAAGGAACCCGGGCTGGTGCCCAGAGGAGCAGCACCAATCCCTGCCTGGCCTGGGACCGTTGGACACAGATCAGAAACACTTCGGCCCTTCGGGAACACAGGCCACAGACAGCATGGGCACCCCGAGGGCCACACCGAGCGGTCTGACAACCGGACCGCTCACACGTGCGGGCCTCTCCTGAGGGGACCAAAGCTCCGGGGCGGGGCCACTTTCCGAGCAGCGGGTTGGTGGGAGTGTCATCGGCCGAGGTTAGGGGCCGATGGGGTCCGGAGACTGGGCCTGGGGGCGGAGGGGGCTGAGGGGCGGGCGCTGGACAGACGCTCCGGCTCGGTGTGCGGGGGCGATCGGGCGACCGGGGCCGTGAGCAGGCCGGCTGCGGCTAGCCCGGCCGCGTCCAGCCCGCGACGGCCGGTACCGGAGCCGCCGGGCCCCGAACCCGCGCAGCCGCCGCGCAGCCGCAGAGGAGGCGGGGCCGGAGACCCCGCCCCACATGCTAATGAACGCGCCGCCCCGCCCCGGCGCGGGGGGCGCCGCGACCTTCCGCCGCGGCAGTCGCGGGCCTGCGGCGCCCGGTAGCCCGCGGCGGACTCCAGGAGCCGCGAGGACGCGGGGCGAGAGGCGCGGGGCCCCAGGGCGACCCCCGCGGCAGCCCCGGGCCCGGCCGCCGCGCGCCGAGCCCGCGCGCCCCCCCACCGCCAAGTGGTCTAGTCCGGGGGCGGGGCCCGCGTCACGTGACGCGCCCGCCGCCGCCATCTTGCTCTGCGGTGCTGCTATTTAGAGCGCAGCGGCTGCCGGGCCCCTCGCCTCGCGCCCGAGTCTCCCGCGCCGCCGCCGCCGCCACCGCCCGCCGCCGCCGCCCGCAGCCATGTCCGAGGCCAAGAACGGCCCCGAGTACGCCTCCTTTTTCGCGGTCATGGGCGCCTCGGCCGCCATGGTTTTCAGCGGTGAGCGCCGTGCGGGGGCCTGGGGCGGGGGGCGCCGCGGCCGGCGGGCCGGGCTGTGACGTCACGCTGACGCAATCCCGGGCTCCGACAGGTGCCGGGCTCGCGGCGGCGGGCGGGGGCGGGGGTCGGGGGCGCCGCTGCCATCTTAGCCCCGGGAGCGGGGGGAAGGCCCCGCGCGCTCCCCGCAACCCCCGCTCTGCGGGGCCGGAGACGTCACGGCGCGGGGACCCCGGGGAAGGCGCTTCCGGCCCGGCTTTCCCAACGGCGCCGCGGGCGGGGTGCGCGGGTGGCTGCGGAGGGCGGGGGCGCGGGCAGGTGAACGCTGGGCCGGGCCGCGCGCCCCCGGAGTCGGTCCCGAGCGGCCCGGGGGTCGCGGGAGGCGTGGATGACCTTCCTCTCCCCAGACGCGGGATGGGGGAGCCCCCTCCCAGGCTTCCCGGCAGCACCCTACTTGGAAACCGGGCCCTGCCGGTGCGGGGGTGTGGGCAGGCGCGCCGCCCCCTCGCCTTGGCCGAAGGGCGCTGGGGTGGGATGCGTGACCGGCGCGGGCCTGGCCTGGCCTGGCCTGCACCGGGCCCTCTCAGGTCGATCTGGTTTGGGACTCGGCTGACCCCGCCCTGCCGCGCCCTGCTTGCCCGGGGGTGGCCGGCTCCGCAGGTATGTGGAGGTTTAGACTCCAAACAGCCTCTGCTGACTGTAAGCACTGGGGGGGCCGGGGGGTTCCGCTCTCTCGGAGGCCTCCCTTTGCCTGGGCCTGCCTGACAGTCACGAGCTGCTGAGTCCTGCCCTTCCCATCATGGGTGCGCAAGGGGTCATTTGTGGTGGGACCGTGGCCCTCACTTCCCCTTCCCTCCCTGCCAGGCCCCTCCCACCGCTGCCCCTCGCTGGCTGGGCCCCCTCTGGGTATCTCTGGGGTCTGGCTCACGGATTCCCCCTCTGCAGGCCTCGGGAGCATCCGTGAACAGAATAGGGCTGTGCTGTGTTCTGGCGGGCCCGGATCTCCCCCGCTCCTCGAAGCTCTTTGATGCTCACATGGGGTCTGATCGGATTCTGGGATGGGGCTGAGGCTAGTACGGGTGGGATAGGCTCGCTCAGGCGGGGGACTGGGGTGCTCCTCCAGCAGCCAAGTGGGCCATTGGGTGCCTTCTGACCTCCTTTCTCCGTGGAAACACGTTCCCGGGCTGCTCTCAGCTACTTCTGGGCCTGCTGACCTCGTGTCAGCCCTCAGGCTCTGGTTATGGACTGACTCACTTCAATCTCCCATCCTCTCCTGCTCCAGTTTCCCTTTTTTTTTTCAACCATGGCAAAAGTCCTGTTCTTTCTTTTTTGCTCTCTCACCCTGCTTGCTGACTTCCTCCCAGCTGCTGGTAGGTGCTGTCTTCGGGGAACTGCCTCCTGCGTCTGGGCTTGGGCAGGCTGTCCAGCCTGGCCCCCTGCTGATGCCCAGGACCTTCCTCTTGGCTAGCGCCGTCCACTATCCTCCACATGACACACAGGGTGCAGGTCTCTTGCCTCCAGCCCTGCTTGCCTTCTCCCTGCAAGGGATTCAAGCGTGTGTGCACACATGTGGGCGCATGCAGTGCTCCCACACCCACACCCCCGCGCACCCCAGAGAGGCAGTGGCAGCAGCCAAGTGGAGGTCTGGGACCTGCCCGCCCTCCTCCTCTGCACCTTTGCTCAGGTCCAGCCAAACAGACACTCCAGTGGGCTTCCAGGGTCCTCTGCTACAGCGGCCTGAGAGGCCATTTTGAACAGGACTGGGAACCCTATTTCTGCCTGGGGCCATGCCTTGGGCCATATGCTACAGGCCCATGGAGCCACACGCAGCCAATGAGAGGCTCCAGGGCTAAACCCCAGGATTTTACAGGTTGGGAGGGTCCTGCCCTCCTATGAGCGGTCTCTGCTCGGTGCAAGGTAGAAGTGGTGAGGGAGGGGGTCCTCCACTTCCTGTGGCCCCTCCTTGATTTAAGGGCTACCACCTCCAGGCCTGCTGCATGGGGTCTGGGGCTGATCTCTGACCAAGGGCAGAAGGGTCCAGACAAGGATGCTGGCCCTGCACGCCCCCACCTCTCTGGCTTGAGGGCCATGTGGCCGGTCTGGGGGGCACAGGCAGGCACCCTGGAGACCTCTGTCCAGAAGGAAGGCATGGGACCCTGCCGTAGCGCCCCCTGCTGGCCTGGGTCGGGCCTCACCTCCTTTTCCTCTCAGCCCTGGGGGCGGCCTATGGCACCGCCAAGAGTGGCACGGGCATCGCTGCCATGTCGGTGATGCGGCCGGAGCTGATCATGAAGTCCATCATCCCCGTGGTCATGGCGGGCATCATCGCCATCTACGGCCTGGTGGTGGCCGTGCTCATCGCCAACTCCCTGAATGACGGCATCACCCTGTACAGGTGGGTGCCAGGCTCCCGCACCCCAGGGCCGGGTGGGGCCGGGTGCGGCGGGGCCTGACCGTGTCCTCTCCCCCAGGAGCTTCCTGCAGCTGGGCGCGGGCCTGAGCGTGGGCCTGAGCGGGCTGGCGGCCGGCTTCGCCATCGGCATCGTGGGCGACGCCGGGGTGCGGGGCACTGCCCAGCAGCCCCGACTCTTCGTGGGAATGATCCTGATCCTCATCTTCGCTGAGGTGCTGGGCCTCTACGGGCTCATCGTCGCCCTCATCCTCTCCACCAAGTAGCCCCTCCGCGCCCACAGCCGCACCAGTCGAGTCCACCCCCCTCATTCCTGCCTCCCAGGCGCGGGGTCCCCCTGTAGCTGGTCTTGTAAATGCGCAGTGTCCTAGTGCCCGTCGTCCGTGCGCCCCGCCCCGCCCGCGCCCTGGACACCGGCCCGTTCCCCGCCGGGCCGGGAGGCCGCGCCGCGCCCCCCACACCCCCCGCCCCGAGTGCTGTGTCGAGGGCCAGAGCGCCCGTTTCTCTCCACTGGATGTTTATTTATAAAGATTTGACCTGTTCATACGGCTCTCAGCTATGTAGTCATCCTCCCGGCGTGCCGCCCCGCGGTGTTCGCGCGCTGAGACCCCCGGGGGGCCGCCGGGGCGCCGAGTGCTGGCCTGCGGCCGGCGCCCAAGTGGCCAATAAAGTTCTCCGATGTGAGCAGAGGCTGTGACCGCTTTGTGCGCCGCGGGCGGGAGGGCCGGAGGGCGGCGGCGGCGGCGCGTCACGTGGGCCGGCGGATCACGTGGGCCCGCGCCGTCAGCTGAGGGTCACGTGGTCGCGGGCCGGAACCGGGCGCGGGGCGCGGGATTCGGCAGCGCAGCGCAGGCCAGAGTCACGATGCGTGGCGGGCAGGGCGCGGCGCGAGCGCGGGTGCTCCAGTTCACCAACTGCCGCCTGCTGCGGGCCGGGGAGCTGCTCAGGTGGGCGCGGGCCCGGGGGGTGGCAGGGGCGGCAGGGGCGGCGCGCCCGCGGTCCGAGCCCCCTGCGCGCTTCCCGCAGGGAGGACCTCTGGGTGCGCGGGGGCCGCATTCTGGACCCTGAGAAGCTGTTCTTTGACGAGCGGCGCGTGGCCGACGAGCAGCGGGACTGCGGCGGCTGCATCGTGGCGCCCGGCTTCATCGACGTGCAGATCAACGGTGCGCGCGGGGCCGCGGCGGGGGGCGCGGGGCGCGGCACCCAGTGCCGGTGCGATCCCCTTTTGCTGTGGGCGCAGGGGGATTCGGCGTGGACTTCTCCCAGGCCACGGAAGATGTGGGTTCGGGGGTCGACCTGGTGGCCCGGAAGATCCTTGCGCACGGAGTCACCTCCTTCTGCCCCACGCTGGTCACTTCGCCCCCGGAGGTGTATCACAAGGTGACTCAAGCTCGAGACCCCCCAGGGCAGTCGCCCCCCATCGCGCGCCCCCTGTGCCTGCCCGACCTCGCGCTGCCCCGCCTGGCGCCCCATGCCCCTCTCCGTTGGGTGCCGCTGCCCTGCCCATGCACCTTGGCCAGCCTGGCGCCGCCAGATTGCCACATTCAGTGCTCCTGAGCCTTCTGACCTCCCGGGTATGCGCCACACCCTGCGGAGGAAGCCCCACTCCCCAGCGTGCCTTCCTCCTGCCCCTGTGTCCGGGCTCTCCGGTTGACTGGGGGGCCTTCCGGTGGGGTCCTTGGTGCATGCTGACCTGGCAGCGCACCTGCCCGCGGGACAGGCTTCTTGAAAGTTCTGTCTTGGGTGCAAGCTAGTGGCCTGATGGGGCCCCATTCCTGTGTCTTTGTCCTCCAGGAAGTAGCAGCAGCGTTGTGCTGTTGTGCTGGTCTCCCCCGCAGGGTCCTGCCAGAGGTGCTGGTGTGGCCCCTTATCTGCCTTATCTGCAAGTCAGGCCCTTCCCGGCCCTTCAGCACATTCCAGAGCTCCAGGCCATCCTCCCAGGGGCCTTTGGGGTCTAGGGAGGTGGTCAGAGCCTGTAGGACTCTGCCCTGACCCTTCTCCCTGGAGGGGTGCAAAGAAAGGGCCGCAGCTGGTGGAAATAGTGGGAGCCTGGGGCCCTTGGGACCCCCTCTATCCCCAGTTTTCATGGGCCAGAGGTGACTGCTGCCCGTTTGACTGGTGGAGACCTGCTGGGCTGTGGGACTCTGCCTCCTGCTTCTGCCCATCACTGTCCTGGCCGAGTCCGGATGGCCCTGAGTGGCTTCTGATCCCACCCTCTAGTCCTCGGTCTGATCGGATATGCCCTCCAGCCTTTGGCCAGCCTGTTCCCTGTGTCCCTCCTTCTGGGGGCTGCTTTGCTGTTCCTTGGGAGACTAGTCTGGAAAGTCAGCTATCTTGTCTCATGATCACTAGTGGCTTGTGTCCTGGCAAGCTTAGCAGAAGTGGCCAGTGTGACTCCAGTTCCCGCCTGGGACAGTCCTGCTCAGCCCCGTTTCCTGACTCAAGGACAGTACTGTGTCCTCTGCTGCATCCCTCCCTGCCCTGAGGATTCTGGGGCCGGGCTCCGTCCAGCTGAGCCCCATCTCCTCCCACTCGCCAGCTCCATTCTGCCCCGCAAGGCTCCTGAGGTGCCTTCCTGGAACCTTCCAGACTTGCCCTCCCAGCTCTGGCTACCTTGTGCCTCCCCGACATTGCATCACCTGCTGGGGCCTCTGTCCCTGTCCCAGCTGTCAGCCCTCACCTTGTCTGGGGGCGGGAGCTTTCCCCCATGAATCTGCGCTGGGCCTCCAGGAAGCTTCTGGAACCTTCCAGCATCCCTGGGCCCAAAGCCTCCATGACCCACAAGAGGACTGGAGGTGACCAGTATTGTCCTCAGAGCCCCCCTCAGTGTGAAGGTGCAGGTTGGGGTTCGAGGCTTGGCCCTCGAATTGGTGGCCGTGGTATTCTGCTCCTGTTCCTCCGTCCCGCAGGGCTGCCGTGCCATTTCCCCTGTACCTGTCAGGGCCAGTTGGTCTGGGGACGGGGTTGTGCCTTGCAGTGCTCACCTCTGTGCTCCCGCACACTTGTCGCTGCCGGGTCGTTCCTCAGCCATAGGGTTGGGACTGCCATGGGCGGGGGCAGGATGAGATACAAGCAGTTCTGATCCCAGACCCAGTGCTCAGGACAGTGCCTTCTCTCTCTGCCACACGCCTCTGGAAAATGCCTTGTTTCTAGGGGTTGGGAGGAGTGGGGGGCCCAGCTGGCTGCCGCCTGCCCTCAGGGTTCCCGGGGTTCTGAGAGCTGCTTTCCCAGGTCCTGCCTCAGATCCCCGTGAAGAGCGGCGGGCCCTGTGGGGCAGCAGTCCTCGGTGAGTGCTGATCCAGGTTCCGTGGGGGCTTGTGGGCTGTGCCTCGCTGGGGGGGGGCTGGAACGATGGTGCCCTCCCCACAGGGGTGCACCTGGAGGGCCCCTTCATCAGCCGGGAGAAGCGGGGTGCACACCCCGAGGCACATCTGCGCTCCTTTGAGGCGCACGCCTTCCCTGATGTGCTGGCGGCCTACGGGCCACTGGACAACGTGCGCATCGTCACGCTGGCCCCGGAGCTGGGCCGCAGCCATGAGGTGATCCGGGCGCTGACCGAGCGTGGCATCTGCGTGTCGCTAGGTGAGGGGCGCGGGGCGGGGGCGGGCCCCTGGGGTGGGGGGCACGGCCAGGTGGGGGCCTGCTGAACTGGGCCACCCACACAGGGCACTCAGTGGCCAACCTGCGGGTGGCCGAGGAGGCCGTGCAGAACGGGGCCACCTTCATCACGCACCTCTTCAACGCCATGCTGCCGGTGAGTCGGGCTGCATGGGGGCAGGGGAGCGGGGGCGGGCAGGGCATTGCGCTCAGTGCATGCCCTGGCACAGTTCCACCACCGTGACCCAGGCATCGTGGGGCTCCTGACCAGTGACCAGCTGCCCCCTGGACGCCGCATCTTCTACGGGATGATCGCGGATGGCATCCACACCAACCCTGCTGCCCTGCGCATCGCCCATCGTGCCCACCCCCAGGGTGAGTGGCGGGGGGCGGGGGGCAGGGGCCGGGCACTCCCAGGGACTGAGACATCCTCCCTGCTCAGGACTAGTGCTGGTCACGGACGCTGTCCCTGCCCTGGGCCTGGGCAATGGCCGCCACACGCTGGGGCAGCAGGAGGTGGAGGTGGATGGGCTGACAGCCTATGTGGCAGGTGAGTGACCACCCAGCCTGCAGGGCTGCTGGTGTTCCCCACCCCCACTGGCCAGCCCCCAACTGCTCATTCTGCTGACCAGGCACTACGACTCTGAGCGGCAGCATCGCGCCTATGGACGTGTGCGTCCGGCATTTCCAGCAGGCCACCGGTCAGTGGGCAGGTCTGGGCCTGTGGCGGGCAGTGGCTCAGGGCTCGGGGCAGGGTGGCTCTCACCAGGGACCCTGCTGTCCCGGCAGGCTGCAGTGTGGAGTCGGCTCTGGAAGCCGCGTCCCTGCACCCTGCCCAGCTGCTGGGGCTGAAGCACAAAGGGACCCTGGACGTCGGGGCCGATGCAGGTCAGCACCAGGCAGCCCCGTGCTGGGCTCCTGCACCCAGGGCCTGCCCCCACGCGGGACACCCCTCACCGGCCCTCTCGACTCTCCAGACTTTGTGCTGCTGGACGATGCGCTCCACGTCAAGGCCACCTACATTGCCGGCGAACTGGTGTGGCAGGCGGAGGCGGCCAGGCCGTGACCAGGCCGGTGAGGAGCTGGTCTCCAGGAGCACCCGGCCCGGGGCAGCCCCCATAAATGTGCGCCCATGGGACTTGGTCGCCTTGAGTCTTGCTTCGAAGTGGTTGCCTGCTTGCTGTTGCCCCCCAGGGTTGAGGGTCAGGGTGGGTGGCTGGACACAGGTGGAGAGGCCCCCACGTCCCCGGTTTCCCAGTGGGGGCCTGAGGTGACCTGTCTCCTGGCATGTCAGAACCGCACAGGACTATGGGACCCAGAAGAGCCTCTGTCCCTCACTGGTGCTTGCAGTCCTGTTCTGTCCTGTCACTGGCCTGCAGCCTGCGGCCCCACTGGTACTGCCCGCCAGCCTCAGAGGTGCCCCATCTCAGGGCACCGGGCCAGGGTTGGGCTGCCTGGGCCCCCGTCTCAAGGACACTGGAGCTGCGTGGTCAGTGAGGGTGACCCTGGCTGCAGAGTCTATGGGACTCTAGGGTATCCTCCTGTGCGCTCCGCTGGGCCTGCCCCTGGCCCCCCTTGCATTCGTGTTGCTCTCATCCAGTCCCTTGTGCAACTTCATCGTCCCAAGTGTCCACACTGAACACCAGCTCACCCGCCCAGGGCGGGCAGATACATGCCCTTGTAGAGCCTTGCACAATGAGAGCACCACACACACCACACGTACACACAAAACATGCATCACCACACGTGTCCCTCACTATACCAAACGTGTCACCACACACACACAGCTCACACTCACCAACACTCGCTACACTTGCACAGCTCATCCAGGTGTTTCCAATGCTGTTTTTTTCGGGTCCCCTAGAGTTGCTGGGAGTGAGAATAGGGAATCCCTGATGAGGTGCCAGGGCTGAACACAAGCCCCTCCCTTGCCTAAGGGTGAGCATCTACAAGGACGGGAGATATGGAGCGTGTTGGAGCCCCCGTTGAGAAGGGTGCCTTCCACTGAAGGGATTCCAGAGGGATGGTCCAGGACCCCCAATACTCCCATAGAAATGCAGCCTCTAGTACTGGGGAGCTCAGCCCCAGAGGTGCCATCTGGTGGGCATGCACAGGCTGGGTTAGGAGGTCGGGTCCAGTGAACCTGAAGGCCTGGATTCTGGGAGCTGGGGACATGCCCTTCCTTTTCTCGCTGCTCACATTGGTAAAGCCCCCCTCCTGTGATTCAGGGGTGAAGTCAAGCCCTGCAGGAGGGAGATCCGTCCCTGTGACCAAGAAATAAGCCCCATGCATAAACTAGGAAAGAGTGACCTGGAGGTGACAGATGCCGTTGTCAGCGGGTCAGGCCAGGGACCCGCAGGGCTGCGGCTCCCTTGAACCCGAGAGGAGAGACCATCTTCCACTGTGACCCCGAGATGGCATGTGGGGTGGTGCCACCTCCCCGTCACTGAGCCTTGCATGCCCCCCCCCACCAATCGAGCCCATATCACCCTCATCTCTGTTTCAAGGCCAGCTTGCTGGACCGTCTGCTGCAGGGGGATCTTTGCTGCCTCTTGGCGTCACACCTGGTGGTGTTCAAGGGTCACTCGCTGGCACTTGGTAGGCTCCGTAGGGTGGAGGGGTCCAACCTAGGTTGGCTGCACACGAGGCACATGTCCTCCCATTGTCCAGTCTCTGTCCCTGGTGGCCAGGCTGCCCAGGAAGCTGGTTCCCCACCCGCAGTGGGGCCTGTCCTGAGTTGGCACACGGCTTGGGGAGAGTTTGGGGTTCAGGGCAGGCGGTGGCCTTCCTTTGTGGCTGTTCAGGCCTGACAAGGTTCGCAACCCCGGTGGGGGGGGGGGGCGGTGGACGTGCACACTGGGCAGATTAGGACTCTGCCCTCGGTGGGCAGCCACAGGCCGGCGGTTCCACATGACACTGGCAAGTCTTGTGGTGCTCCATCCCCACGGACCTATCAGGGTCTCCCTCGCCCCCTGGTGAAGCTGCTGGCTCAGCTCTCAGAGGACCCTGCTGGATGCAGTACCTCTGGGTGACACTGCCACAGTCAGGGCTTCCTCCTTGGAGGACTATAGCTCCCCGGCCTCCCAGGGGGCCACCATTACTCTCTGCCCTTCCCAGGAGGAATATGACCTCACAATGTAAGGCCAGCATTGGCTCAGCTGCCCTTGGGTAGGACAGAGGCAAGTGGGGCCAGCTCCCTGCTGCCAGGGTGCCCGTCAGCTGGGCTGTGTCAGGTAAGTCCATCTCCCCTGTGCTGAGGCTGGGACAGACAGCTGGCCTGCCTGCTCTGGGCATTGTGCTCTGGCTGTGAATTGCCCCTCATCCCTCCTGCAGCTGGCCCCTGGCTGGCCCTGCCCACCGCCCAACCATCTCCATGAAGCTCCCAGTCATCCCAGTGTCGCTGCCTGCAGCTGGGACATGCTCCTTTCCCTTCCCTGACGGAAGAATCCAAGAACTGCACAGGGGACTGGAGTGACAGTACAAAGGGCAGGCTGCTGCCTTGCACGCGACCAACCCAGCTTTGAACCCTGGAATCCCCTTATGGTCTCCTGAGTCCCCAGTGTGGACCAGAAAGGAAAACAGCTCGAGTTGTTCATTGCTTTGTTCAATTGGGATATGATTAACATTAATCTTAGGTATAGAATATGATTCAATATTTTCTTTTCTTCTGGGGTCACAGCTAGCGATATCAGGGGCTACTCCTGGCAGTGCTCGAATGCTGGGGATGCCTGCGAGTCAAGCGCACTACTCTGGACTATTGCCATTGTTCTGGCGCCTGATTCCATATGTGTCCATTGTGGGAACATCAACACAATTAGTCTAACAACCATCACCAGTTAAACTTTTTTCTAAGGGGGTGTGTGCGTCTAGGGCACACCTGGCAGTACTCAGGGATTACTCCCGGCTCTGCATTCAGGAATCTTCTGGAGCTCTCCGGGGACATATGGGATGCTGGAGATCAAGTCCAGGTTGGCTGTGTACAAGGCCGGTGCCCTAGCTGCCGGACTATCATTCCAGCCCAGTTACGTTTTCCTCCCCTTGTTATAAGGATTAAGGTTTCTGCTTTGGAGCTGGAGAGCTAGTACAGGGGTTAAGATTCTTACCTGGCGCGCAGCTGATCCGGGCTCACTCCTCAGCACCCTGTAAGGTCCCACAGCCCTGCACGCGGGTGCAGTTCCATCCCCACCCCACCCCCAGCAGGGTGATTCTAATTTGTGTCAAGGGGCTCTGGAGCCCTGAAGGGGGAACCCCAGGCTCCCGGGGAGGAGCCCTGGCCCCGGCGTGCAGGGCGGGGTTCCCAGCCGACCAGGCAGAGCCCAGCGTTACAGCCCAACGACGCCAACGTCCTTATGCCCCTGGGTGCCCGCGTCCGGCTGGGGCCATGCAGGGGGACGCGGGGGCGCGGAGGGTCGCCCGCGCGTGACCTTGGCCGGCCGCAGCCCGGCGGCGCGCGGGTCCCAGTCGGCGCGCCGGGGCTGACAGCTCGGCCCCTCCGCGCGCGGCCCCGCCTCGCGTCCCCGCGATTGGCTCGCGCGGGGGCCGGCGCCCGCCCGCCCGGCCCCAACCCGGAAGCGCGGCCCGGGGGCGCCGGCGGGGCGGGCCCGGGCGGCGGCGGAGCGACGGCGCGCCGAGCCAGTGGGCGCACGCGGGGCGCCGGAAGTCCCGCCCAGCGTCGTGCGGGGGCGGGGCGCGCCGGGGGCGGCGGGCGCCGGGGCGGGCGCCGGAGGAGGGCGGCCATTGCTGGGCCGGCGGCGGCGGGACGCGGGGCCCATGGCCAGGACCACCAGCCAGCTGGTGAGCGCGCGGCGTGGGCGCGCGGCGGCTGGGGGGCGCGGGGCGGCGCGGGGGCGGAGTCGGGGGCGCGGGGCGGCCCGCGGGCGGGCTGGGGCGGCCCGGCGCGGCCCGGTCTGGCCCGGCGCGGCGCGACCCCCGAGTGGCCCGGCCCGGCGCGGCGCGACCCCCGAGTGACCCGCGGGCCCGCCGCGGCGCGACCCCCGAGTGACCCGCGGGCCCGGCGCGGCGCGACTCCCGAGTGACCCGCGGGCCCGGCGCGGCGCGACCCCCGAGAGGCGCGCGACCCCGAGTGACCCGCGGGCCGGCACGACCCCGAGTGACCCGCGGGCCCGGCGCGACCCCGAGCGGCCCGCGAGCGGAGCTCCCCGACGCCGTGGCGAGGCCGGCGCGCGCGTCTCCCGCTGTTTTGGGCCCCGCCCGCGGCTCTGGGGCCGCCCGGGCCCGGGTCACCGCGATGCCGCCGACCGGGGCCTCCCGCCCGCAGAGCGTGTCCGCGGCCCGCTGGGCCCAGGGCGGTTCTGGGTGCCGAACCCGGGATCCTGGGAGGCTCGGGGCCTGGGGGTTGTGCGCGTCCGTGGAGGCCGGTCGCAGGGGGCCTGCGTGTGCGCGCTGGGGTCGAGGGGGCGTGCGCAGGGGGCTGCGCGGGGGCCAACCCGCAGCGCCTGCACGTGGGGGCCTGTCAACCTAGATCTCTCCCTTGGATCCCGGCTGTTCTGCCCCCAGAGCGCATCCTCATCCTGGGCCCCTGCTGCTGGCCAAGTCGTCCGTTGGTTGGTTGGTTTGGGGTGGGGCCACACCCGGCAGTGCTCAGGGGTCTCTCCTGGCTCGGGGCGCCCTGGGGAGCGCGGCGGACCGAACTGGGGTGCTCCCTCCCCGCCGTGCTACCTCTAAACCTCGCTAAACCTGTGTGGCCTTGAGGAGGGGCGGGGGGAATTTGTCCCCATTTCGCTAATGTGGAGACTGAGGTGCAGAGAGGTTCAGTACTTTCTTCTGAGCTGCACACAAGAGGAGCCCGGTGCCTTCTCCTGCCGGGTAAGGTGTACCCTGGGGCTCAGGCTGTCTTTTTTATTTTCCTCCCCTTTTTGGGTCACACTGGGTGATGCCCAGGGGTTACTCCTGACTCGGCACGCTGCACTCCCCTGGCAGTGCTCGGGACAGTATTGGGTGCCGGGGAGCATACTGGGTCACCCGTGTGCAAGGCAGACATCCTCCGCCCTGGACTGTCACTCCCGCCCTCAAGGCAGTCTTTCATTAACGAAAACTTCTCATTTATTTTTCTCTTGTTCTTTTTCTTTTTGGACTTGGGCCACACTGGTGTGCTCTGCGGAATGGGTGCTACAGGGTGCCCATATGCGGAGGGCAGGCACCCTCCCTGCCGTACTGTGCTGTGTCCAGGCATCTCCAGAGTGCATCTGGGGCCCGAACCCCGAGCTCAGGGCTCGGTACTGGAAGGGTGAGGCTCGGAGTCCTCCCTCAAAAGCTAGAACCGGGTACGGCTTTGGTTTGGGAAGAGTCGGCGGTTGGACCTGCTCCTGTTAGGGCTTGGTCCACTCAGGCCACACTGTGGGAAGCAGACCATGGCACCGACTGGGCTGTAGTGGCGCGCCGGCTGTGTTTCAGTGTTTGATGCCGAGCTGATCCCTATTGGGGAGGCTCACCACTCTTCTGACACGGTCCTAGAGGAGGGTCCTGGCAGCAGGCCACACCCTGCAGTGCCCAGGGCTTACTCCTGCCTGCTCCGCGTGCCTTCGCCATCCTCTTCAAAGCAGCTGTTAGTTTCAGGGCCGCCTTCCTGTCAGTCCTGCCTCACGGGTGGGGTCGCATGGGATGAGCCCCCCAGCCCCCGCCAGGCTGTGTGGGATGCGGGCACGGACGCTCCTCGCTGCCCCTTGCAGGGAGCTTGGGTGGACTTGGGCACGTCTCCCGTGGTACTTTGCATTTGTGACTCAGGCTGGGCACCACCATGAAGGTGCTGCCAGTGCTGTTGCCCGCTTCTTGTCTGCCCTTGTGGTGACAGCTGGCAGGCAGACTGCAGGGTGGAGCTGGGTGGTGTGGAAGGAGGTTCAAAGGGCAGGTCAGGGGCAGGAAGTGCTAGGGGGCCATGTTCAGGCCTTCTCAGTGGCTCCTTCTCTGCTTACTCCCTGGGATGGCAGATCACTTTAAAATTATTTGAGGGTAGGAACCCTTGCCCAAGGGTGAGGCTCTTGCCTTTCACGTGGCCAGCCCCAGTGTAATCTCGGCACTGCCGGGGGTGAGCCACAGTTTGGAGCCGGCAGGCAGCCCTGTGCACCAGGCGGCTCACTGTCAGGGGCTGGCTACTGGAGCGGGGAATGTGGCCGTGTGGATGTCAAGCCCTGTGTCCAGTCTGTGGTACTGCAAAGATTCTAGAATCATGGTCACAGACTCTAGCTGAGTCCAAAGGTACAGCATGCACCCTCAAGTAACAGCACACGGGGGAGGACAAGGTGCTGAGAATGGCGGTCCTCACTCTGATGGTCCTGAGTACAGCCAGCTCAGAAAGGCAGACAAACAGAGAGAAAGTAGTGGGATGTCATGTGTCCTGGGGGGTCATTTTAGAGGAGAAAGGCCTGTTTAGGATTGTAACGGATCCAGTCCTTGATGCTGCTTCCGTTGATACAGTTACACAGAGTCTGTTTCCATCACTTAATCTGGAAAATTTCCCTGATGTTTAAACTGAAATTTTTACTTCAGGGCGTTTCAAACTGTTTTGAATGTAAGAGATGATTTATGCTAAAGGATTTACACTGGGCCTTCGAATAAGTGCTGTTGACTCAGGTTTGGAGGCTGCAGAACTGACGATGTGGGCCGTGGAACTCGGAGTGAAGATTCAGGCCCAGCTCCTTGTGGGCCAACGTGCTCGCACCTGGTGCTGTCAGTCAATAGGCCTATTTCTAGGCCAACTTTAAAGTTTTGCCAAGGAGGTCATCTCTGGAGTCGCATCTCGAGGTGTTTGGGAGCTGGGACCGGGCGCCCCCTCCACCTTAGCGCCTGTGATGTGGCTGGCCCTCGCTCAGTCTCCCTCTGCGCCCGCCTCTCCTGCGGAGTGGGTTTCGTGGGTGCCGTGCTGTGTCCCTGCAGGAGCAGCGAGGCTGCTACGCCCGAGGCCAGCCCCTTACCGCCGGGCCCCTTCCCTGGGCAGCCAGGACACTTCAAATCCTTTAATTTGGTGTGGGGGGCATATACCCAGCAGTGCTCGGGATGTACTGCTGGCTCTGCTCTTGGGGCTCGCTCTTGGTGGGGGAACCATAAGGGGAGCCAGGGGTTGGACCAGGGTGGGGCGTGTGCAAGGGAGGACTTGGCCCCAAATCGTTCCTCTTGTGTGAGGAAACTCCCTCGGCAGAAACTCCCCCGAGTCCCCACTTCTGTTTGCGCCCAGCGTTAAAAGAGGTTTGTGTCACAAACTTTGATTTCTGTCTGTGTTTTGGGGCCACCCCCACTGGTGCTCGGGGGCTGTGCCTGGCCATGCGGGGAGGCAGATCTCGCCCGCACGCGCCTGCCGGGCCTGGGCACTCTTGGCGCTGCCTTTCACCCCTGCGCCCCTCTCACCTGAGCTTCCTGTGGCATGTTTATTCTTGGTTTTGCTCTTCTGGTGCTATTTTGCCGTGCTGCCCAGAGCCCAGCGTCTCCTGTGGGCAAAGCGAGAGTTCCACCGCGGGGTCACAGCCCCGATCCCTGGCCGGCTGGCTTCCTTTCTCTCCTGGGCCACACCTAGCGATGCTCAGGACTCACTCCTGATTCTGCACTTGGGAATTACTCCTGGCAGTTCTCCGGAGACCCTGTGGCATGCTGGGGATTGAACCCAGCTTGGCTGCGTGCCAGCCACGGCCCTCCTGCTGTCCTGTGGCTCTTGCCCCCCCCCCCCCCCCGCCTCGTGATGACTAGGAGCCACACAGCTTGCACGTCTGCAGGTGTGGCTGAGGTGCTCGGGGTGGGGTGTCACACTTTAGGAGCGGTCTCACACACACAAGTGGGTGTGTTGGAGCTTGCATACTTAGGGGGTGTTGGGTCACATCCAGCGGCGTTCAGGGGCTATTCCTGATGGTGCTTAAGGGACCATGTGGCTCTGCGGATCCGGCTCCCCTACCCCCTGACTTGCTGGCGGAGCTGGAGAGGGGGAGTGCCGTCAGGAGCCCTGCACTTGGCACGTCTGGACAGTGCTCGGGGTCAGACGCATGGCTTGTGCTGCAAGGCAGATGGACCCCGCGCTCAATCCCAGAACCACTCGGAACCCATGTCCAGGGATTCTGCAGGAGAGCAGAGGTGCTCCCTGAAGCTGCTCCTTACCTAATGCCTCGTGAGCTTTTCAGACTAAGAAGAAGTCAGACGGTTTAAAAAAATAACGGGCTGGAAGAAAATAGAGGGCGCAAGGTGCCTGCCCACGCCTGGCTGACATCTCGTTCCGGAGCCATCAGGAGTCACGTCTAAGCACAGAACCAAGCGAAGCCCAAGCAGGTGGGGTGTGGTCCAAACACACGGACAGGGTGCAGTCTGCCTTGCCCGGGTCACCGCGTACCTCATGTCCCTTCAGGAGTGGTCCTGAGCACAGCTGGGCTGTGTCCCCTCTTGTTTGTGGAAGAGATTCCTGAACTTGAGTGACTGCCCTGTTTTCAGGGGAGGACAAAAACACTCGGTGTCCGCTAGGAATGGACAAGAGGCACCCCTCTTTTGTGGCCGAACCTACCAGCTGTTCTGGGGTGCCCCCAGGGAGCGGCACCACCCACTTTGTGACACACTGGTCTAAGGGAGTTTGAGTGTTTATTTAGGGTGCTTGGGCCACACCTGGGTGTACCGGGGCTTCCTACTGGTCCTCTGCTCAGGGGTCACTCCTGGCGGGCACGTGCAGGCCTATCTCTCCAGCCCTCCGTATCCATTGTTAACTCAGTTTTCCTTCCTGTTGTTTGGGATTTACTCCCAAGCATTTCTTCCTTTTTGGTCAAAATTACAGTCTTCAGCTGATTGTGTGTGCACAGCCAGTTATT